ACACTTACAGTGTCTACAGAGTGTGTGTCATACATCTACATATTGAACGATTCGGTCCAATAGCAATATGCGCTGCGCCTTAGGCCTTTGACCTCCTACCAATCCAGGGCTCATGGCGTTCAAGCCACGCAATGTCTAGGATGAGGTCATATCTTGCATCCACGTCTAAGACCAAAGAGCGTTCCATGCTGTTAAAGTCCAAGAACTTTACATTTAAGTCCATGGGGACTTTGGGCACCGTAACACGCGTATCCGTCGCTGAGCGAACTGTGACTGTGTCATTATCACGCGCTTTTACGCGCTTCAACATACTGCTGACTACCTTCTGCGGTGGCACGGCGACCATAATTTCTCGATGTCGCCGAATTGATCAAAAAATAATCCATGTCTTGTCAAAGCCCTTGATCTCCCCTTTGACGACTAGCAAGCCTGGCTTGCATTCTCGTTCTGTTTTTGAGATATGAATCTCTTTGGGGCTGAGTCTTGTCTATTCTATCTCCTAAAGGCTCAACAGAACGCACTTCTTCCCCAGTAGGGCGACCCGCGCCTACTGGGTTCTGCTCGTTTCCCCGCGGCAACCAGAAGGCTTACCCGTGAGGCGTCGGCTTTGCGAGGCCAAATATACCTTTCTTGCAGGGCGTTTTGCCATCAAATGGTCTGTGCTCTTGCAGATATAATATCTGCGCACAATTGCTGCTCCGAAGCATGAATCTCAGCTTTTTCATCCTCTACTTGACTACAGTCCATAGGTACAGGCCCATCAGACGAGTAGTTATAAGTGGCAAGCCTAGCGGACTTAAAGTTGGTCTCGCCATTCTATGCCACTCCAATAGCTTCCTCGAATGTGGACGGGTTTGCCCGGAAGACTTCCGTTCTGGCAACGCCAACTCGGAGGCCCTCCATAAATACCGTGACGGTCACTTTCTCAGCATAGGGTCTATGACCATGGCAGCAATGAGAGCTCTCAACTCTTGTACATATGCCGCAAGCTCACGCTTTACTTGGCGACACGCCAAAACCGCGACCGGTTCCGGTGTGCTTGGTTTGGCGGTGCATACTTCCGGGCCATCTGAACTTTCAGATCGGCCCATGTGGGAAAAGCATCTTGCAGTGATGCACCGCATGTGAATGCCCACTGTTTGGCTAAGCCACCTAACTTGCCCGTGGCAAAGCCCACACGGTACGGTTCATAGGTGATGTCGGCTATAAACATAGCCGACTCAACCTGTCGGAGCCACAGCATAAGATTATCATCTTCTTTGCCGTCGAACTTATCTAATTCCATATGTATGGGTTTTGATTTTGTCTGCGGGCCACTTCTCGCGCCATAGTCGCCATGGGCGAAGGCGCAGAAGAAGGCATCTGTGCCTTTACATGCTCGACTAGAGCTTTATTATACTCTTCAAGCATAAGAATGCGCTTGTTGACCTCTTTTTCGCCCTGGGCGCTAAGGTATTCCACGCCCTTAGGACCAAGGAAAGGGAGCAGCTTTTGCAACCCTTTCTGTTGTGCCTGTGACAGGCCAACCGCGGACGTCTCACCGATGTCTATTCTCACACATACAAGTAGTCGCAAACACAGGTGCGGGATTGGCTACAAGTGCTTCCAGGTGTAGCACAGCTACTGTAGCCAAGCTGCTTATGCACTACGTGAAGAGGAAGACAAGCTCAAAGAGCATATACGTCTTAGGGTTCTTAACCCTCCCAAGGCTAGCTTCACAAGCTTATGCTTTTTGGTTGTAAACAACCAAGTCTACTAGAGACTAGTATCAAAGACTTAATTCCTTTTACAAAGGAAGAGAACGCTCTAGCACTTTTGCTATTCAGAGCAGGTTCGAATCTGATTTTTGTTTAAATGTTTATCTTCTAGCACTAAATATAGAAGCACATACTCCATACTTAGTGCTAGTCATTCTTAATCTGGCTCTGTAGCCTATTAGTATACAAACATGTATAGTTACTATACTGAAACTAAGTATAGTAACCACGTGGCATCTCTGCCACTTCTCGTACCTTAGGTACGGTCACATCGAGCCTCACTAATGTACCCAAGGTACAGCCACACCACAATAGTGTGGCAGGTGTGTATGTAGACTACACACCTTGTGTAACCCTTTCACATACATCGATCTTTATTTTCCATATACCGTGGCTTACTTCTATCGCTACGGTCGTCTGCCTACTATTACTGTGTCGAACTAATTTTGTCTGGGCTAGGCCACCTGCGCTGACCAAAAGTATCAGAACAAATATAAGACATGGCGCTGTTAGAAAAATTGTGTCTTACAGGTTATGAAGGCTCGGCGTGAAGACTGCAAGACCCATGACAGGTGAAGGGCAACCTCACGAGTGTAACATGTTGACAGGTGAGATCAAGGCATACGGACGTCGTCTGGGACCAGGTGACACATGGTGATAGGCACGCTGGACGTGTGACAGGTGTACCTTGAATAAGTCGAAGTTGCATTGATGGTCATCAAACTGCATATGGATGGGTAACAACGAAGGGTAGTTAATACTCAATATATTTTGCTCTTTACTTCCTACTTCTATTGCACAAGTGCAACTACGTTTAACAGGCAATCTATCTTCGTTTGATTTATGTAGACGCTGTTTTTTGTGACCCTTGTCATATTTGGCAAGTTTTGGTCCTACTTCTAAACAACAACTTGTGTATGGAACGAATGACCACATTGCGTTCTAAAGCTTAAAATCTAGTGTTGCTACTGTTTACTACTTGCATGTAACAAGTTGTCGATAGGAAGGTGTATAGATTCGTATTGAGACGCATCGGGTCCAGTGTAGAGTCTTTTCGCTTGAGCGTAGATGGTCCTTATCGCTATCCGTATCGCCCGCAAAAGCTATAAAGCGAGATGCACGGGACTGCTGCAACTGGCTGAACGGAGACGTCATCCAGTCAGCTTTCTTAAAGCGTGGATGCTGTTTCATGGCGTCGACATCACTCAGCCATTGGCAGGGATACAGTGTAGCCTTATTCACACGCAGCTCTTCGACGAAAATGTTGCATGTGGTCAGCTCGTAACGTCAACGTGAGGATCTTCGCGGCATTACGCGAATAGCGGTAAGTCATTTATCATCACGCACGCACTACGAGTGAGCGCTTACTAATCTACAACATGAGAATAATTGTCTGTCTGATGAAGAACCGTGGACTCCTCTGCGTCAACTTATGCGGCGTACCCACATCTTTCACGACGTTTGATCACTAGAATGGCGATTCGAATTAGAAAATTCGGTATTGGCCACAAGTGTTTTAGCAAGGCTTAAGCTTTTGCACGTATAACCGCATGCATGAAAGTTTCAACAGATACGACCAACTTACTACCCTGAACTTTTCCACAGAGCTAAAAGCGTCCAAATAGAGTGCAGCTCGCTAAAGTGCATTTCATATGGAAACGCAGGTGGAAGCAGTTTTTATGAAAACCTTACCAAGAAGGACTACTATTCAGTGTAGTCGATTAAAATCATCGCGACGCCCGGAGACTATTTCTCCACTATCTTTTTCTAAAAGGTTTTAAATTTGTATCAATCATTCGACACTGTTGCTGCTGTTGTCGAGGAGAACTGGGTTTCAGTTACACATGACTGTGTGTACTACAGCCACACAATCCAAATTGCAGGTTGATGCCAAGCTGTCTGTCCGGGCCAGCTGCTGCAAGTAAACAACAACTTGTGTACTCATTGTACCAGCTTGCACTTGAATGTGATCCAATCATTTTAGTTACATTAGGTCACTTATTCAATTGGAATGACAAGGCATGCGGGCCTGCGCGTTGCGTAATTTATGTTTCACTATTGTTCCTTACATTAACGTATGTTGCCTACAAGCAGACCTTGCTACTATACAAACCCGCTTTGTTGCCCTTATACTGCTATCGTCACTGCTACTGATGATGCAGGTATACCGATACGAAAAATCTCGCAGGGTCTGGTTGTTGGCAGCGAGCAAGACATGGTGAACCGAAGAGCCGATTGTCACGATGATCACCATCATAACAACAAAAAGAGTTGGCAGAAAAAAACTGCGAGGCAAAAATAGAGCAATCTCTGTTTGAATCCCGAAAATAAATTACACAGGTGTGTCAAGACCGACCAAAACAAATTGAGGCCATGCTCTGCTGGTGCATTGGTTGACACGACCTCGTTTCTCCAAATTCTTCTTTGAGCAGTCAAAAGACCCCTGCTAAGTTTGGAGTTTCGCTTGTAGTGTCTGCATCCGCGCCTTTGCCGTCTCCAAAGGATACACCACAAAGCATTACAGTCAGTCTTCCGAAACCGAAACGTTTGCTCATTTCAAATTTGCTTGGATCATATTTTATCTACAACACGCTGTTTATACCTATCTACAGTTAGTTGAGTGTACGGGGGTAGTCAATTCATTGATACGTAGTATATTTTCTCCGCATACATTGTGTACTCACTCGTATGTGCGACATGTACTGAACTATGTGTAGGATGGCCGAAACGACGACGAGTCGTAATCAATCCTGTTCTTAGCAGGGCGGAGGAATATACTAGTCGATAATGATACAAATAACACAGAGTGTAACTCAGAAGGTACGCTTTCTAATTTGCTTGTAAAGAAAGCTTTGTGCCGTAGCATGATTGATCCTTTTAAGCGTCTGACATGCTTTATACTCCATCTTTATACGGATGACCACCAAATTGGTTTCTGTGACATGCTTTGTACTCGTCTACTCCAAAGTGTTTGACTCTGACGGATCTGCCCTAGTATACGTAAGGCCCCTATGCTACTTCGGAGCATTTCTTATTGCATAAGCAAGCGGTAAACAATACATGTGATAATGTTTCGCTGGCGTGGCGTAACAGCAAGTTAGATTTACATGGTACAACACACATGTACGACAGAGCAATGGTACCAAGACCTGGCCCGGGTATCTCTCTACATGCTCATTATCCATTTCTCAGTCTACAACTTCAGTCTTATCGAAACGGTTAAACAGTCGAACGAAGGGTGAAATGGTGCGGTTTTTGTTCTTTCAGGTTGGCGCAGTGTTGGCGCTAGTCGCAGGCAGCAATGCTAAGAAACTTCGTCGTGGAACACGGGCCCCCGATGTTAACGGCGAACCGTTCACGGACGCTGGCATAGTTACGGACGCTACAAAAATCACTCAACTCATTATAGCCGGCGACAAGTTGATCGAAGGCATCGGCTTCGTAGCTGATATTTCGGGAAAGGGACTGATCACTCTGATGGCGGCGGTAATACCATGAGATACGGCCTTAGTGCAGACGAGTACATTGTGTCCTTGGGAGTTGGCAGACAGAGACACAAAAAGAAAGGTCTGCGTGTTTTTGCCTTGTACTTTGTTACCAACCAAAACAACAATTACACGTTTGGAAAGCGTACCAAAGAACATACGCTGTACAATGCGCCTGAGAAGGGTGTCAGACTCACTGGCATTGATGGTACAGCGGGGAATGAGATCGACGAGTTGGGTCTGATCTGGGGAAAACCTACTAAGTAACTGAATCTTACTACCAACAAGTCTAAGCTTCTTCTTAAGCTTATGGAGCTGTCAATTTGACCATGCTGAGGCTGCTCCTTTGTGCGCGACCACTAAACGCAAAAATAAACATTCAGATGAGTTGGTTATGAGGTTTTGTTTGATATGAAACGTATATGAACAGAAAGATACGTCATGCATGCACCATAGATAGTACAAGACAGGATTCGAGAAGGGCAAAAGGCCTGTTCCTTAGATACCTCCATCTTGATAAACTACAGGAACAGCAGCACGCTGACATCAAGGCTGGGGTTTTACTGGGAAGAATACACACATAGAGGCACGTCTTTGTTTTCCAGAATGGCAGCCAGGCCCTGACTCCCAAACTCGAATGCAGATCACATGTTGCAGAGATTGCTATTCAACTGCGACCTCATAATAGGCAGCTTCAACGTCAATCGCCCCATTGTCATCCTGGCATATCGTTACGGCTTACTTATTCGTCGGCACACATGCATTACTACGACCTTCATGGAAGCTGAAAGCATGATTTCCAAAACTACACCGAAAAAGCTCAACTGCTAACGACCACTCAAGCTTTTGCTGTGGGGTGTTGCAACGATGCGATGATGAATGAACCCGATGGATTTTTTCCAAGGATGCAGATCTACAGCACTCGCGTCATGATGCGATCAGTCGTGAAATGCTGACAGTCTTATGAAACGTATGGAGCATGGACTCAGTGAGAAATACTCATTCTTGCAAGAGTAAACCTTGATGGAATGCAGTGTGTGGTTCACGCAACGAATGCACGTCCATCCAGGTACATCCACCCGAAGGCAACATACGATTGCAGGTCTCGACTCTTGCGCGACTTATCACATAGCAAGCAGCCCCTGGCTTTGACACTGCTCATTAAAAATATTCGTGTATGACAAGTATCCTCATCGAATTAGGCTCGTTAATGAGCATCATCTTCGCTGCTCTGAGAATTAAAAGTTTCTAGAAAATTTGCAGTATGAAGATAGGACTACTACACTCGATGAGCTCTCGTAACTAAATAGCGACTCAGGATAATGAAAATGTAGCCATCTTGTATAGCGTGGCGCGAGATCCACCCATTCCAGCGAGTGACAGTCCGTCTCGTCCATTTGGTGACAACTTGTCGAGTGTACCGCAAGTTTGATAGAATGGATCTGGCAAAGTTACGTAAGGACCTGATGCAATGTTGGCTGGCACAGACTTTGGTGCACGTGCTGGAACGTGCTTTCAAAGGCAAATATGTCTTCATCTCAATGGGTGATGTAATCATCGCTGAAGAAGGAATCGTACTGTTCGAGTTGATGAAGGGATTTTTACGTCAAGGTGAGACTGTGGCAGAAGCAAATTCAATTGTTGCTGATTACTATGCGCACGTCAACAATTTGGAGGAGCTACAGCAATGGACTGAATTGTCAGGTGATAGGGAAAGGAGCTTGAATGGAGTACTGTTTGTGGTATATGCTCCATGCGACGACGAAGTTGCACCAAAGCACGTTCGTGGTATTTTAGACGCGACGTCGATACTTGAGAAGTCGTGGAAGGAGAGCTTACTGCTTGTAGTGCATAACTTGACTGTATTGATGGGGCTGGAAGGAGGAAGGAGAGTAATGAACACCTCACAAACGTATTATTTGGGTCATTTTGGTGCAATAGAGACTTCAACAAGGACACTGAGTGACTCGCGACGGAATATCAAGTTCATCGCGCAGCCTTTGGACTGGCTGCATAATCAATGCGGTTGGCACTTTGTGACGGAGATTGTCCGATGGGTTTCAGAATCATCTAGCAGTGCGACCAACAACGAAGAAAATTTTGATGCAGCTCGAGCCACTATGTTCTCGAGTATTAACCAGTTGCCATTCCAGCTCCTACTGCTGGTCTTGAGGTGGAGCCATTTCCACCCGCAGCTTGTTCGCGTATGTGCGAGTAAACTACAAAAACAAACGCAACTCATTCCACAAACGCGAGCTAAGACGGGAGCTTGTAGAGACGCAAAGGCGCGGAGCTCAACTTTGGAGCGGTTTGTATCCGCTGATAGAAAAGGTGAAGGAGACACCAGTGCCGATGGAGGAGCTGTCATCGTCTCTACTCGTCCTTAACGCATCATCTCGGACTCGAATAACATCACCAAATCTCGTCCGACTTTCCAAGTGCTGTCTTTGGGATAGACAGAAACAGTTTTACAAAGATCAAGGTATTTCGTGCCTGGACTTCTGGCGCCATCCCCTTCGGTGTGTCAAGCAGTTCGTTTCTCGCAGCAGCTTACGCACGCATTGCAATTGACTTCTTGCTTAGCAATACTGACAGCGTTAAATCATACACGGGAGAGAACCGCTCACCAAACTGCTTTGTGTGGGAAGCTGCCAGCGGATCATGCAAGTTTTTGCACTCATTCATGCTGCACTTTACGGAGCTGGTGGAAACAAATGATGAATTCAAAAGTCGAAAGCTGGTGCCGCTGGTCATCGCGACAGACTTAAGCAGCCACGTATTGAGTTCGCGTCGTCAAATGCCGTGCTTTCATCCATTCATCGAACGAGCGCAATTAGACTTTGCCCTTTTCGACACACATGAATTCATTTACGGGAATGCTACCGTTCCTGGAACGCGAAAAACACTTGAGCTACTGCATTCGAGACGGCAATGGCATGTCGGAAGTGACGGTCCTGTTGTGCTGATGGGCAACTATTTCGTTGACTCCCTGCGCGCTGACATTTTTACAGTGGCCGTTAATCGGGATCACTTATCAGTGACGAAAGAAACTGTGTCAAAAGAACGCGTAGTGATGCAGGTTGCCCTGCTTGATGAAACTACATCAAATATTGCCGAAATGGACATCAGTCTTCATTCAATTGCACACTCAGAAACTCAAACCATTTACGAGGACGATCGACTGAACGCGACACTTTTGCAAGTATTGGACCGATTCCAATCTCGGTGTAATGCTTCAGTTCCAGCATCCGTATCTTCAACTGGATTAATTATCTTTCCTGTTGAGGCGTTTGAGTTTTTCTTAACGCTGTTGGACAGACATAGGGAAGCAAAGGCATTTCCTATCGCCATTCTTGCAGGAGACGCACGATTTTCTTTCCGAGACGCGATCTCTAGCGCGTTCATCACCACCGCTCGTGTCAAGATCAAAACCGAAGAAGAATCCACTGGGAGAGTAAGTCTAGAACTACCGCAATTAACTCCTCATCCAGACTGCTTCTGCCTTCCTGTAGACTTCGAAATTATCGAGATGTTCTTTGAACAACTCAATTGCAATGCTACAGGAATTTCTGCTAGCACGAAGGTGATTTCCACTCCAGCAAGTGATACCTTCGATGTATTTTTTGCAGCTATTGAGCCGCACATACAAGAATCTGCTGTTGCTCCAGGCCAAAATACATCGACCTCTATCACGAAAGCGCAAGACACCAGCTTCAAGCATCAGTTTGCAAACTTCACACCTGGAGACTGTGACTTACTGTGGGGCATGATAAGTTACGAGGTTGGCGCACGCTGTTTTTCAACGACTACACTTCTTGCTATCCTGGCACAAACTTGTTGGGATTTCGACTTGTTTAAAACACTGCACTGGGAATTGCTGGGTCGGTTGAAGCGGCAACAAACCAACATTAAGTCAATGCACTATCAAAATATCCTGGTCGAAGCAGGAATGAAATCTTGGCGGACGTTTTACTCCATGGAGCAACAAACCGAGATGGATGTCACTATGCGAAGAACTCATCTTCAGCTGGCGCGCTGGTTCTACGGTAAGGCTGTACCAAACAAACATGGGGTCGCCTAGTACTCATTGTTGTTTGCTGTCATAGAACTGGAAGCAAACGATGGTGTACTGGAAGTTCTGACGCCATGGCGAGAGAAAACCTACAAAGACATCAGCTCGGACGATGTGGTCATCTTCTATCTTCTTGGGGTACTATTCATCCCGCTGATTTGTTTACACAAATTTCGCTTTCTCACTTGCTGTTGCTAATTTGATCGTAGCGGACAAGTTTGCGGATGAATGAGCCTTGGAATGCGCTTTCCTTGTTCCGCCTCTGTGCTCGCTTGGCCCCCACAAAACTCAAGTTTCAACGTCAAGTGACTCGCACATTACTCATCTTGCAATCGTTAAGACACGCGGCAAGCTGCTCAAATGCAGCTGAACCCCAACGAGACATGGGCTTTGCGCTATAACGAGGGTGGCGACACGATGAACCTGGACATGCGCTGTGTAGTAACCGTTTTCAAGTAGTTCATCTTATTTCCGTACATAACAAAATTTAAATCTATACATGTCAATCAAGCAACTCACATTGGCCCTTGCACCACTTCCGAGGATACAATTATTAATGAACATTCACCGTCATCGCACAATAGTCTTGTACAACCTTAGCGCAGGCTTGGGCCCCTTCGACAACGACAATTAACTGGTTGCTTGGTATTGCGTTATCAGTGGAGTCAGGCGTGGAAACAGTTCGATCCTTCACACATAAGACCTAATTGTCAAAAAGGTAAAAAAAACATCATCAAACACGGTTGAAGGCCGTACCTTAAAGTGAAAGACAAGCGCGTTGTTCAAGTCATCTCGCTCAGAAACCTTTATCAGTGATGTTAAAGGCCGCCATTCTTCTACGAGCGCAAACCCCTCCCGTGTTGCCACCATCACATTCAGAATGACGAGCAAAGATGGGGCAACAACCAGCTCCCGGTGGCCTAGACACAGTAATTGATGAGAACAATCGTCTCGCTCTTCGAACTTGGTAACGTGATAAAAGCGGAAATCTTTGTGAGCAATCCTTGATGAGGACTTCCAATCTGCCAAGTTCACGTATCGCGATTCAGGCAGTTCCAGTTCGCTGTTTTCGTCAACTACGTGCTGCTGCGTCTCAGTGTCGTCATTTCGTTTGTTGTTCAATGGCTCCTCGTCCGTCAGTGTCTCAATCTGATAGCTACTTAATGAGCGGATGCTCAGTCGGGAAGCTACAGCTACTGCTTTGTCCAGCATAGTGCTTCCAGTTCGCACTGGTGCATTCTGCGGCGCCGGTGCCAAAATCAATGATGACGTCGTTGACCAATTATTTCTATCACTGCTCACAGGTTGTCGAACAATCGATGCCTCGCTATCTTCATCACTGGAAGCGCCGTCCGCGGACAGCACACCGCTAGGAAACGTACGGCAACTTTCACTCAGGTCACTAAATTGACTCCATATGTTGTCTTCCGTCCCGCTGCGAATACGAAAAATGTAGAGCGTGTTTGGTTGCAATCCCGTGACGGAATATCTACAAGTTTCCGCAGAGATGTCAGGTTTTACTGTCCACCACATAGCAGCCAACCGATCTTTCATGTACTGGATCTGGTACTTCGCCACTCCTACCTCGTTCACCGAATCCCAGGTAACAACAATCTCGAAGCTTGATGCGGGAATCGCCTGCAAAATATGCGGTGGGGCAATGGCATGAGAAAACAAGGCAGCGCTGGAGATTACTACGCTAATCGGTGCCGCACTGTTGGGTTTGATATTATCGCCAAAGCTTCCGCTGCTAGTTGGAGAAAGATTATGAGAAGATAGGAATGACTGGACCATAGGTTTGGCTTGCTCTCGTAGCAAAGGCTCAATTTCTGCAATAGCAGACTCAGGAAGTCGCTCAAGAACCACATCGCCTTTGGACGTGTTTTCATAAGCCCACACACCATCACCATCGTCATCTGCCTCTCTCTGACCGTTACAAAGCAGCATCGACTTACCTTGAACATCTTTGTTTTCATTTCCTGTTTCACCACAATTGTCAATGGTAAGGCGAACAAATATTTGGTTTTCGCCAGGGTTGACAAGTCTTTCGGACCCTCTGACCACTTGTCCTTTTTCCAGTGTAATGTCCAGTTTGTCAGAATTAAGACTCGGGCGGCGGCGTGCTTGTGATGCTTGGAGCACGCGATAGAAAAACTGACCTCGCTCAACGTATTCAGCGCAAACACCGGGAAGAAAAATCACAGTAGCCAAGTCTATTCTACTCACTAGTGTCGGTATAACAAAGCCGGATACAGATTTTGACGCGCCAGCTGTCAAACCATCCAGTGTCCTCATAGAGCTGCTTGATAAACTGTAAGGTCCCCAACGCTGGCCACCCCTACAACGGACGCGAAAGACCACCGATTCACCAGGCTCAAGGCCAATCATTGTGCCATTCGTCTGGTCAGTGACATTGCTCATATTAATGCCATCTGTCGCTCCTTCCTGCTTTATTACGACTGGAAGCCAAGAATGAGAACCATCACCAGAATTCTTCGCATATTCGAGTTGATACAGTGCTGTCGTGGAGGATGAGAAAGATAGCTTGTCCCAGGCAACACAGAGAGAGTGTCCGGTCGCGCAAACCAGTTTTGGTGCCAGCGGCTGAGTTGTCATCACGTCAGGTGCGTCTACTTTCTTATTCGCACTTATCGGAGTAAGAAAGCGCAACACCACAGGCCTCGACGCTTCAATTATGAGCTTGATCACTGTCAAAAATGCCTTGTTTTTCAGGCTTTTACCGTTGATCGCAACCAGCAAATCTCCGGCGGTGATAAGCGCCGTTGCAAATGCCTGACTGTCGGGAACCAAACTATCGACGGCAGTTTGATATTTCTTTGACGTTCGAGACTTGCGAAATGAGATTCCAATAGGACCAGGCTGTATCTTAACATCAAAAGTTGTCCCAATAACTTCATCTTTCTTAACACGAGCTTTCATCCAACCATCCTTTCTCGTACATTTAACTAACGCATTTGTCTCAACAGCTGCTTGACTGTTCGTTCCGCTAAGTGAACTTGAACTCAATGATACTGCGTCTTTAGCTGCTGCTTTCAAAAACATAAAACGCTGTGACAATGTTGATACAGCAGAACTCGTCGTAATTTTGATCGATGGCTTCTTCTTCCTTTCCTTCAATTCCATCGCAGTACTAGTGTCCGAGACTGATGGAAATAGCGTATCTGTACCTTTACTGGCACTAAAGCGACTGCTGTTCCCGTCAGATATCTCAGCATGTGTGTTCGTATCGTTTTCAAGCGAAACGTCATCTTTCGATGCGACACCCTGCCGACTACGTCCCCTTTTTGAAAACAAATTGAATCCCCCCTTTGAGGCGGTCTCAGTCAAATCTGCCAATATTGGCTGCTCGTACGTTGGTGGTAGCTGTGGTGACGCCACCAAAAGCTGCTCCTGCGCAAACGTATCCATGTTTCGAATATTCTTCTCAAGCTCATCGAATCCCCCATCGAGCCGACTTACGTGCTTGAATCCCTTTTGCAAAAACAACAACACAAGCTTTTGTGTCACAGACACGTATTCTGCATGTACCTCAGACACTCCATTTTTGTCGATTTCGCTAGGTAGCGTGCCAGGTTCTCCAGGGCTCTGATTGCAAGAAGTTGCGGCGGGCTCGGTCGGCGATGAAGCGGATGGTGATATCTCTCTGTCGTCTTTTTCTGTTACGACTACATCAATCGACCTCTGACTAGGGTCCTGTGATGGCAGATGTTGCGACGTGTCATTTAAAATGACACTGGCCAGACGCACAATCGTTTTCAAAGCTACGCTGTCGGATGAGGACCTCGAAAGAATAGAGGGTGAGTCGACAGAGCGACCAACAAAGCAAAAGTGACATCCTTTCATGTGAAAGAAACCTTTCATCAATTTATCAAGGGCATCTGGGTGTCCCATGATGCTTGGGTCAATGTAATGGGAGAGACTCAAATGCAACTTATGGTACTCCTCTGCTGGTCGGCAATCCAGCACAATAAACTTCAAACCTGTTGATTCATCTCGATTTCCATTTCCTGAAAGATACAACAACGGTGGTCGGTCGCCACGTGATGATCTTGACGGATTACGCGCGTCAGCTTCTGAAAAAGGATTGTCTTGCCCACTCAAGGCAATTGGTGCCAACACTGACACGTGCTGCTCACTCTTTGTCCCCTTCAATCGATCCAGCAAATTACGGACAAGTTCCTCTGGGTATACTTGCAGACTAGAACACACGTACAGTTGATCCAGAAACGGCACCATGGCGTCCGTGAAGCCACCATAGCAGACCGAGTACAAGTCACGCTTAAACGAGCGCGGAGTGGATTCTGCGACCACCAGTGCGCTAGCACACACTTGTTCTAAGTCAATACGTGAAGAAAAAGTCAGTGTGCTTAGTACTTGTGGTAGCATTGGAATTTCTGCTTGAAAAATCTGCTCTCGATTTGCCGCCACCAGTGCGTACGCCACAAAGTGTAGCAAATACGGGTCTTCTTGAAGCAAAAAAATATCCCATAGATAAAACACAAACTCGGGCGGTAGTGAGCGTGCAAAGAGCGTCATGAACCACGGTGTAACGTAGAGTTCGGGTGTCATATCATGTTGATCTAGATAATGACATAACTCTGGATCATGATACAACATGAGTAATCGAAAAAGCTGGAAAGAACACTGCAATGATCGAAACTCTTTGTCTACAAACACATGGGGCAAGAATCGATCAATAAGAGCATAAAAGCACTGAAAAACAACCCCCTCCGCCAATGGTACTCGATCTTCACACCCTTGACGTTCTTCCGTGAGCAAAAGAAAAGGTGCAAGTACTTCATTCATGCCTTGTTTGTATTGAATACTACGACATTTGCAGTAATAGGTCAGTAATTTGACAATCACTTCCACAGTCTCTGGTTGTTGAAAACGACGTTCATTGCTTCGTGTACGTGCAGCATCAGCTCGAATCACTCGTTGATTCCTTAAATCTTCTTCCACTTGAAGAATACTTTGATCCAAGTAAACGCGTTCACTACGAGCGACACCAAGAAGCTCTTTCCATACTTGAGACCGTAAATCGGATGGAATTTCACCAAGTAGACGACATTTCAGACCAATGAGAAAACGATCAGGTCGTCGTTTCTTCATTTCATCATGTAATTCACGCTTTAATTGAATCCAGTCGTCTTGTATGGGTTGTCTTCGTGACTGGAACTTGACTGGACATGGTCTTTTAATACCTTCTTCTTCTGCTTCTTCTGCTTGACTTGTTTTTACTATAGAAGCAATAGCAGTTGAGACGTTGATATTGCGAGGATATGTAGATGCAGTAGTAGTAGTAGTAATAGATCCATTCCGTCCAATGTTTGTATCACGTGTGAGCATATTATTTTAGACCCGAGACAACGATAGAAGTCGTGTCTACTTTCTCAATGACTTATTACTGACTGACTGAATAGAAAGTCAAAATGTGGTCATTTTATTCTGGACACAAATCAACAAGAAGTAGAAAGCTATTTAGAAGAAGGATTTGAAGAGACCATTCTATTGTTTTGTGGCCAAAGAACTGTCGCAATGATGTGCTGTTGCTACAAACAATGGTACGATCGATCACATGATCGATCAGACGATGGTCCTAGTGGACGAAATAGAGTACTTTAAAGAGGATAATACGGTCTCTCGTATCAGTAATTTTTCTCTTTTTGTTACTTTTCATATGCGACACGTGCCCTACCCCGTTGTTCTTACGAATCAACTTTTCTGAACTTGCAATTGTAACCCGATTGGTTACATAATAAGGTTTTGAAGGTCGTCTTGGACAGCACGGGCGTATTGCTCTGTCTGAATTTGGTAAAGAGGACTGGACGCTGGATCCCGTAGTTTGAGTTTCGTGTATTGTCATGATATATATATATATCCTCGGCCTTGCTTGCTGTATCCTTCTTAACAACCGTAGCCACACTGCTTGTGGTTTCGATGAAACGCTATGGTAACCAGTCTTTTCATCTCTAAGTTGCCATATTGAACATCGTGCATTCTACTTGCTATACGTTTGATGCACTTAATGTCCGTCTCAATTTCTCTTCTTGGCTTCTTCTTTTGCATACAATGTGCCATCTAGAAAGAAGAGGTCACCACAAATTGGATAGTAATTGGTTTGTCAAGACGAAACGTATCAGTTTGTGATATGCATTTGCTACCTTTTCCAAACGGAATGCGTCGTAACGAAACAGCCTAAAGGTTGTACAGCCTTTACAAATACACATTCGTTGCCACTCTTCAGATTCATCCCATCGGAGGTGACACATCAACCGCGGCCTTTACAAAGCCATTTATCTCCTTTACTCATATGTGTCGCTGTCATCAATTTGCAAGGGCATTTTTTGCCCATGATCTACCTCGCCAACACTACCGAAACATTTGTCGCAATTGGTGATCACGATAAACTCAATCTCAACGTCAAGCTTCCAAGGTTCTTTCGATACATGTTTTGAAGGTATACAAATGAAACACCTTGGTCATGACGCAAGTCTTGCCACTATTTGACTCGTACCAGGCTGACAAAAGACAAAGACGATTCGTTTCGTTACTCTTGCTCAATGACGTCCAAGTATTGTAAGCAGCTGAATACTACCACGAATAGCTACTAGGAAGAGTTTTCCATCAATTCACAAACCAACATGCCGCACAATGCCTCTCACTTTGTGCAGCCTCTCAGATATTGCAACTATTAACATGACAGGTCCATCCGTACAGCATATCACCACTCGCAATCGTACGCAGTGTTAACGTGAACGCCTCAATCATGCAAGCAATTGGCTCACCACACTTCAGTGTTGCGTTGTCCTACCATCTATACCTTTGTTTTCGTCGTGTATGTGCTCATGTCCGCAACGCATGTCATACACTCACTCTCTATTATTTTTGTATATGTGTCACCTGTTTGCGTTAACAGGTTAAGAAAACGTTTTGTGCTTCTCGTTAGCAAGCCAAACACCATCGTGCTGACTGCAAATTCTCCGAACCAGTACACACCGAACCTTTGTGCTTACTTCATACGAACTCGGGCAGGACTTTGGGTTTACAACTTACATTGCATTAAAAAACATTAGGTCCGTAAAATCGCCGTGGCAAATCATCAACAGCACTGACACTTGAATGCAGCTTGCATGTGTTCACTAGTAGCTATGAGGGGTGCGGTGACTAGGTGGTACAGAGGAGGTCGACTTATGTATGCGAGAAAAGCGACATTATGCGCTGGTGACTGGTTCCTAGTGAACAGTCTCATTTTCCAGCGCAAACTTCTGCTTTAGACATCAGTGAGCAACATGTTGAGCAGCAACTTCTTGCAGGCATAAGATGTAATGACATATCTCCAGCAACGCCATCATCACAGTCGATAAACGCGGCCGACTAACATAGCACTTTTCCTTACGCCAGTACCTCATGCAACGTGACTATCAGACCAATTTCTTAAAGACGATGCATTATCATCGCTCTAGCAGCACTTTCCATACCTTCCTTCTTCTCACGTCTTCGTCACAACTTGAACTCTAAGGGCTCTTAACACTTACCAGATCCGTTTGCTGGCGTTTTCTACTTTGTCGAAGAAGACACCAGCAACAGGACCAAGCTACGTTGCTTTAGGCTCTTCCTCATCAATATTCTGCCATGTACTCAGGCACCACCCGTTGCGCTTCGGCTTTAGTAGGCAACTCTTGACGTACACAAATGACTTGCCCTTGTATATATGAGTCTTCATTTTGTATCGTTCTACTGGGTCTCCTGCGTCCTTCGTCGTTAATCCTGGCGACCTGGTCCAAGATGCTCATTGGTGTCGTTATCAAGTACGGAGAATAAGTCTCCGTCGATTAAGGCGACAACCCAATGGACATTCACATTGCAACTAGCAATTCTTTGCTTAGTGTCAACGATTTCGAAACGAGTCCCGTTCCCGCATTTAGTGCCTCAAGTGACGTTATAACTTGAATAGTATTTGGACGGCTCTGCCAAGGCTGTATCAATTTCGGAGGCTATGTTCGTGACGGTGCTATTGCTATTGGTAAGCATTCTGCGCGTGCAATTCGGCTCTTATGGTTCGTTACTGCAAGACGATATGCTTTATCTCGCCTTAGAGACATCATTCTACACAGGAGCGACGCTAAGGGATACAACTTAGATGCAATAAGACGTTGAGACTCAAAAGACCTTTGCTGCTTGCGTTTTCGAGGACGACATTGAGTACATGACACTTTTCCGATTGGCACGATGCCATGGACGTCATTTTGGTCTGCTGTTCTTGCAGACGATTGACAGTTGATGGTTGAGCTCACACAAAACTTCAGGCAGTGATGGTGACAAATTTGAAGCGATACTCACACAATTACCTCAGAGGCTGCCTTGATGCACGATATACCGTCTGGCTGGACGTTAGTCTGATTGCAGAGTTCTCAAAGTACCTACACGAGATCCTGCATGGAGATCAATTTTTGTAGGACCTACTAACTCATCCGATGCATATGTGCGACATCGTACATCGTCATTTCTAGTTTACTCGTGTAAACGCAACTGTCGTCTGTACTCGCGTTCGACCGCAATGACAAAACCCTTTATACTGAGTGTATTGTACTGTCACAGTGTCCAACACTAGGACGCGAGCAATAAGGAAGGACCTCCAGTGTGAACTGTATGTAACACACATGTGTCCGAATCGTACACGACGCCATGCTTCCTACTTTAGTAGAACGCCGTCATTTTGAGGTGAAGAGCAAAGTATTGATAAATCTCGCGTTTCAAATTTTGCTGGAACTCGCACGCATGTGATTCTTCAATCTCGACTTTTGCTTCCATCGATTGTGGATCTCTTTCTCTCTACTACTGCTGTGTAGTTGTGTTTACAGGGACAAGCGTGCTTTGCATTGTCGGTCCTGGACATTGCAAGACAGTAATAACAAATCAACGGGACTTTTGGCCATAAAGAAGATTGCTAAGGTAGTACTCACCGACCGCCGTTTCCGAACAGTCTTTCCTGGATGACGCATCTCACATTCACTCGTGCTGCGATCACGAGAAGCTACAGTTTAAGAGCATTAAATCGCTTTTTTTCACTAGAAAAATAACTTACCACAAGCGAATATATTCGAATACCTTCGGTCAACTTTATTTTAGCTTGAGGTAAAATAATTTGATTTGTGCAGTCATGGCTTCAACACGCATTCACTGCCTGTGGCCGTTTCTTGCAACGTCGGATACAATGGAGCAAAAACCGTCCAAAGCCTCAAGTTTCGACGCTACAACAAGCATGCCGACGGCTGCTGAATGTCAATTGTTATAACAATCAGAATACAGACCACTGAGGCAAAATGCTTACGCTGCACCAGTCACAATCTTGTTTAATCGTGTGCTTCAGCAAGACCAGCTGGGTGGTTGTTGTGAGTGAATCTAATCACACTCGACTGTCATCGTTAAGCTCAAGGTGCCAATCACTATTGACTTGAGCAGTTCATAACACATAAAAACTTGCTTATAATGATCAAAACAGTTGCGAAACTACTTTCATGCGCGATCATTGTCCAAATTTTCCATTATCTTTTGACTTTACGTGTCTCGCACTCATCTAGAGAACATCACGTGGTGGTTCAAGCTTTTTGTCACTCATTGAAATCGAATCCTTTGTGCATACCAGAACCCTCTGAAAGTAGTAACTGGCCCGATTTCGTACTTAGTACGTCCAACTCTCGTCTCCTTGCCCTCGCTGCACGTCAGTTGCGAATAATCAAAGCGCCAGCCAGAAGCGACAAAACAAAAGGTATATAGTTTTATTATACCGGTACGGTACTGACGCTTCCCGTTCATCCGCGGTCATTTCTACAATGTCGACTAGTGGCAATGAGAATACAATGGATTATACGACGAGCTCTGATTATGGCAATACGATGGAATATACTACGAGCTCAGATTATGGTAATGTTCCGTTACTTTATGCAAAATTAATTGCCCAGCTATTTTCAACACTCATGAGTGCTTTTGTTGGAGCACGTCATATTTTACAAGTTGTTGCACTTAAGAAACAAGTACGTGCACGTCGTCAATTACAGACACCAATCTTGGCATCTGCTGATCATGGTCCGTATCATCCTTCAGCTTCCGAATGTTATCATGGACGTACTTGTGATGCTTATGTACAACCTACACCACCAATTTTTTCATCGATCTTAAATACTGTCCCTCTATCAAGTCATCAAAGTTGTCAAGCTACAAGTACACACGTGAATGCAGCTGATGAATATCGACGTAATCGTCTTGCCTCTTTTCTTGTGCGAGAACGAGAAAATGCACTCTATGCACCTATTGGAGGACCTGATTTCATTACAAACGAGAGTGACGATGATCGACCACGTGTGTCCGTAGCTTCACGAATCTTGCGCGTCATGTGTATGACTGACTTTGTCTTTTCCGTATCAGGTTTAGTTGTAACGGCAGTGGAATTGTGGTTACCGAGAGCAGGGAATAGTTTTCAACTCATGTTTTGGGCAAAAGCACCACATTGGTGTTCACAGATTGCGAGTTTCTGTTGGGTCGCGACACTTTTATTATACATTGCAAAACACAGGAATCGAGCAAGTTTTGATGTTGCGATTGCGCATGCAATTATTTGGATGGTGATTGTATTTTATTGGATACTAGAGCTTTATTCAAGTTATTACGACACGAAAGGGTTTGTAAACGCGGCCAAGATTATTTGGAAGATCATGGCGGTTGGATGTTTTCTAATTATCTCATTTTGCTGGCTGGATTTTGCAAGAAGGTGGAGAAAACAAGAACGACGTAAAGGGGCGTATGTTGTATCCAAGTTGGCATCCTATACGGTGGCATTCTTTGTCTTTGTCGGCCCTATTGTTATTACGGATCTAGCTCTTGGATTGCATAGCTCTGGCATTGTTATGGATACGTGTTCGGTCAATTTAGCCATGTGGCCGTTTGCGAACGCTGTGATTTACCTTACGAAGCCGACGTTGTGTCTTAAGATTTTTCAGGCAAAGCCAAGTCGTGGTTTACAGGGACAATACGACTCGACTGATGGACAGCAGGCCAACGGCTTGGGCCGCCTTGGCAGCCGACGATTCTTAAGTGGTGGCAATGGATCAGCAGGTGCACCAAATGGCATAGTGGGTAGCGGAAACACTGGTGACACTAGCCAGAAGTTGCTGATGTCGCCATCGCATCACGAGCTTAAGGGCTTGGAGATTGGCGACAAGATTGGTGAAGGTGTGGCTGTGGTGTACCTGGGTAAGTGGCGCGGTGCTAATGTTGCTGTCAAGATGAAAGCAGTTCTGGCGGCGCTGGAGAGTGCCGCTGGTCTGGCCGAGTTTCAGCATGCTTGTAACGTAGAAATTCAAGCAGAAGCAGAGGTGATGCGTGGCTTGTGCCACCCAAACATTGTGCTCTTTATGGAGGCAGGATTTTACCGTGGCTCGATTTGTATCATTTCAGAGTATTGTGCACGTGGCTCGCTGCGTGACGTGTTGAAGCAGCAGGCACCAGATGTCAAGAATCTGAACTGGCCAACGAAGCTTCGTCTTGCGTTGGGAATCTCGCACGGTATCCAGTACTTGCATAATGCAAATCCGCCTATGATTCATCGAGATTTAAAGTCGCCAAATGTGCTGGTGGACGACTCGTGGCATGCCAAGATAGCGGACTTCGGTACTCTTCGCTTTTCAGAGATCGTGTCGTCTGCTGCGCAACTCCAGTCATCGCAAACGAAAAAAAAAAGCTCAGTGAAGACGCCAGTGGTGGAGATGACAGGACTTGTGGGTACTACACGGTGGATGGCACCTGAGGTTATGCGAGGCGAACGCATATATACCAGCAAGGTCGATATCTACAGTCTTGCGCTCATTCTGTGGGAACTTATTGAAGGGAAGCTGCCGTTTGAAAACACACGATGGAATTATGAGGTGGAGGATTTTGTGCTGAAAGGCATTCGCCCAAATATTCGCTCGGATTTGTGCCCACTGCGCTGGAAACTGTTGATTGTAACGTGCTGGCAAGCAGATCCGCGAGAACGCCCTACAATTCAGCAAGTTATCAATAGTTTGCAGCGAATTGGACGTGAAGAAGTGTGGGACCCGACTGGTCCTCGTTTTACAGGCGTTAGTCAGCTAGGTATCTCAATGTCTTCCTCCGTTTCGCAGTCTGTATCGTCATCATCGTGCCTGGACTCACCACATGCAACTGGGCCGATCGGAGGTTTTGATCGACGCAACTTTCCAGTTGCATTGGATGAAAATCATGCGAGCGAGTCGGACTTGAGCGCAGAGAGCTTTGCAGAAGAGTTTTCTTACGTACCAACGCTCGATTCACTTGCATCTCCGTCTATTCTCGGCGTATCGAACGGTGGTATTTTCAAAAGCTCTAAGAGTTCACGGTCTAGGTCGCGCCATGGCTCTATGGATACTTCCGCTAGTAGCCGGTTAAGCGCTTGGAGTACAACTAGCAGTACAGTAAGTATGGGCGTTAACGATAGCGGCCACTTTGGGCCGACAAGCCGTTCAATCGGCATGAACGACTTAAGTGCGAGCTCTGTCAGTGTTAACACCCTCCATGGCAGTACTAGCTCCTCCGCTAGTGGTCGGTCGATGGGGTCGTCACGAACACCCAAGATAAAGAAAAAGCGCCCAGAATGGCGACGTCGCACTGATACAATTGAAGAAACGCAGCCAACGGATCATATTAATTTGGCATCACAAACGTTTATCGAGTCGTCACCCAATGGGACTTCATTCATCGTCAATATTTAACTTCTTACATGTTCAAGTATGGAGCGCGTGAGTAGCAGTTGCTTGGTCTATTAGTTTGTGGTAGAAAGCTTATAACAAATGCACCCTCAATGTCATTTCTTCTGCTTTCAAGATTGAATGAATGTATGAAAGTCTCGTGCCTTTTGATTTCATACAGCAAAAATTTACAAGCCAATGCTCTTGAACGAAGAAAATAAAGTTGATGACAATGCTTTGAGCACAATAGCATCAAGTCGACCGATAGTCTTTGTCTCGTAACAAATGTCAGTTGCAAATTGTCCCATAATAAATCCAACGTATCACCTCAACTTCAAGATCATCAGTACATTTTTCCAAAAGGTACGAATTTGTGTTATTTCATAATGTACCCATCTATTAGCTTGATAGTATTTGAGACTTGTTACATAGTGGTGTCGTGATTCCAAGACGTTATATCTCGTGTGGTTTTCATCACCTCGATGGCGTCATTTCCGTCTCATTATTCTATGAATAGAGATAACGTTTCTCATGATGTATGGACGACTGATATTCCCGTGATTATTGCAGCAAATCGTCTTCCTGTACGTGTTTTTAAAGCTACAGAAGATTCAACCAAGTGGCAAGTCGAATGGGCTGGAGATCGCATGATTGAGTCACAGAATGCTTTATACCATTATGAACTATCAGAACGTGTGAATATCAAGTTTGTCGGTCTTTTATCAGACGTAACAAACATTTCTGTTCATGAACGCCAGGATGTGGAAATACTACTACAAGAATTTAATTGCTACCCCGTGTTTCTAGAGCCTGAGGAAGGAAAATTATATTATGAAGACTATTGTAAACAGACACTATGGCCTACTTTTCACAACATTGTAGACGTCTATAGTCCCGTAGATGTTGTACTTGATGTAAATGCACAGCAAGAGCTTACACCTGCTGCTCAATTCTGGAACCCTTGTAGTCAAAAAGTGGCATGGCAAGCTTATGCTCATGTGAATCAACTCTTTGCACATAAAATTTGTGAACTTTATCAACCGGGTGATGTTGTTTGGATACAGGACTATCATTTACTACTTACACCAAGTTATATTGTGAAAAAAGTAAGAACAGCAAATGTTGGTTTGTTCTTACATGTACCATTTCCATCATCTGAGGTGTTTCGAACCTTGTCAATGAGAAAAGAGCTGCTAAGAGGAATGTTGAACGCAGATCATATTGGTTTTCATTTGTTTGAGTACGCACGGCACTTCATGTCAGCGTGTCGACGAATCTTGGGATTGACTTATAAACCCATTCTACGTGGACAATTGGGTATTGACTATGGTGGACGAAGAATTGCTGTTACGTGTAGTCATATGGCCATTGATACACAACGGATTGAAAACACATTAGCAAGTAAAGATGTTCGCGATATGGTTGTAACCTTGCGGCAGAAGTATCGAGATAAGAGGATTTTTGCAGGCTGTGATACCATTGAGCGTCTCAAAGGCATCCCGTCCAAGATGTTGGCTTTTGATGGATTCCTCTCGCGATGTCCCGACTTTATTGGCAAAGCAGTATTGGTGCAGAAAGGAATACATCGACGCGGACGCGTGACGGACTATCTCCAAAGCAAAAAAGAGATTGAACTAGCTGTGGAGGCCATCAATAACAAATATCGTGACGTCGCGAAAGGCGATGTCGTGGACTACGAAGAAGTGAGTGAATTTCCCTTCAAAGAGCGCGTGGCGCTCTGGCGCGTAACCGATGTGCAGATTACGACAGTTTTGCGGGACGGACTTAATACGGCACCGTTTGAGTATATTGCAACGCACAAGTACGATATGCGTTGAACGCCATGCTCCAAAATGCTATTTAACATTTGTTTTGCGTATGATTTATTTAGAACATCGCCTGGTGTTTTGATCGTGAGTGAGTTCTCCGGTAGTAGTCGTCTTCTGAGCGGCGCACTGACTGTAAACCCATGGGAGCTGGACCAAGTCATCGACGCTCTTCGTGATGCCGTATACATGTCGACAGATGAGCGAGAGCATCGACGCAATTGTGACTTTCAGTTCGTGTCGGCAAACCCTCCTCGTCGCTGGGCTAGGTGTGTACTCACTGATATTGTAAACGCACGAAAGAAGGAAGAGTCATTTGTGTACATGGGTACTGGCTTTGGTCTGGATTTTCGTTTAATGGAAGTGAGCACACAGTTTCGGGTAAGCTGCATGATTTCTTACAAGACAATCTACTCTTTTCAAGTGTTTGACGACATTCTATTATGGCGTATTAACCTTTGCTTAATCTAGAAACTCACAGACCAGGAGGTCGTGCCAGGATATCGCACGAGTACAAATCGTGCAATATTTTTGGACTACTACCGAACGTTAGCTCCGGACGTCACAAATTTAATGGGTGTAAGATGGCCCGATGTACCATTGACGGCATTGGCCACTCTCGAACAATTATGTAAAGACCCTCGTAACACGGTGTTTATCGTTAGTGGATGCAATCGTGATATCCTTACGCAGAAGTTTGGTGGAGTTCCCGGTTTGGGGCTTGTAGCAGAACATGGGTATTATATTCGACCTGCTGTTTTAGGCAACGATGCTCGCATTGGACGCCCATGGGATAGATATGGTGATCCTTTGCAAACAGAAGGAGGTCAGCAACGCTGGCGTGTAAAGGCTGAAACGATCATTCAACTTTATGTTGATCGGACGAATGGTTCCACGCTGGAAATGCGGAGAAGCGCCGTGCTGTTTCGATACGGCAAGTCGGATTTTGATTTTGGTAAACTGCAGGCAGCTGAGCTAAAGGAACATTTGGAGGGTGTCTTTGAGGTGGCGAACATGCAAACAAAATAGAAGCGCAGATGTAGATCTAACTTGTTTTGTTCTTATTGCAACTGCAACAGGGCTGGCCCTTGAACATTATTCAAGGCAAAGATTACATTGAAGTGCGGCCTAAGGGTCTTGGCAAGGGAAAGATTGTGGAGCATTTGCTGACGAAGATGCGTGCTGATGGAAAACCAGCCGATTTTGTGTTGTGCATTGGGGACGACGTTGCTGATGAGCTCATGTTTGATCAGCTCAATAAAATGATTGCGCATGAAGAGCTTCCGAAAAGTATGTCTAACTCGTTTGCAAGTTGAGACACCTTCCGTTTTTAACGATGCGCGTATATATCTTGCAGGCAAGGTTTTTACATGCACGGTTGGACAGAAGCCCTCAAAAGCTGAATTCTTCATTGATAACTACATGGACGTTATCGCACTACTGAAGTCGTTAAAAGTGGTTGCTACAAAGGTGAGTGAGATGAGGCAATGTTGATACCTAGCGATGTCTAATATCGATGCAACATGTGTTTGAACAGTCCAACCGTAATTATTCCCTGTCGGATATGCATTTTTTTGTACGGGATACACGCCCATTTCTTTCGTCATCGTCGCATGGAGTATCTAGGAATGTAACGTCAGATTTGGTGATGCGAAAGTCTTCGAGTCGCCATCTACTTCAAACTCACCTGTAAGTGATACCAAGTTTTGAAATGTGCAAGTAAAGAAGAACTCACGTTTATGATGTACAGGACACCTGTTATCGAGGACCAAATTGTGTCCACAGATGTCGGTGGACAAAGCAATAGTCGGTATCGCTTTTCAAATCGCCGCAAAAAGAGCAGTAAATGGCTTAGTCGCGTGCAACAACTTGGTGTGATTGCTATCTTGATTGGGATTCTTCGATGGCGTAGCGGAATGAAAAACCCACACGAAAAGAAATTGCTGATGTATCTCGTGGCTTCACTTGGGATTGCTTGTTCAATTCAGCACATGCGTTCAAAGCCACGTAAATAAGTGGACTATACCGACAGTACAATCGATCCAGAAGCGAAAACTTGGATAATGATGACACGCAAGTTGAAAAAAATGTGATGGAGTACGGTTGGTTTGCCTTCATCTTGACACACTGATGTCGTTCTCAGTGTCTTTTATTTCTTCCTGATACGCACAGTATATTCTGTAGATATCTTCATTTTCTCTGAGATCGTAAAGTGTTTTTTCAAGCACCACTAGCACTAGGCAGCACTATCAGTCTCTTTTCAGTGTGTCTCTTCAAGATTGCAAAATGTAGCCATACTATTCAATCAAAACGAATCGTATCATAATAAATTGGTTTGTAGAGGGTATCGAGTATCAAAGATACACTACAATCCATTCAAATTCATTCGTCAAAAAGATCAGTTGAGTCAAAATGGGACGTCGTGAAGATGAGGGTGAATCAAATCGTCGGCACGCACGCCACAGGATGTCCCCGAGCCCTGCACATGGTGAAAGCAATGAAGAAGTTATTCGCAATAAACTGCGCGAGTCTGGGTGGAAAAAACGCAGAACTGAGAGTGATAGCACGACAGACGTCGAGACCCTTAAGGACAAGGAGGCGGTCAAAGAAATGACCGAAAAAAGGACCCTACGTGGCGTAGACGAGCGTCGAAGCTCGCGTAAATCGCGAAGCTCACGACGTACTTCACGTTCCCCGCGTCGGCGTGACCGAGAGCATCGTAGTTCACGCAGAAAGTCGTCGGGTAGCAGACGCCGGTCGCCGTCGCGCTCCCGCTCCGCTGCGTCTCGTTCACGCTCGAGATCACGGTCCTACTCTCAGTCGACAGGTCGTCGTCGACATCATCACTCGTTGTCGTTGAGGAAGCGACGGTCTTCACGCTCGGTGTCGAGAGAGAGAGATGGAAATAAACTGAGACGATCGCGTTCTACGTCGGCATCAAAGAGAAAGTCCTCAACAACAGTAAAAAGTGAGGAAGAAAGAAAGAAGAGAAAGATGAAGAAGGAAGAAGAAGAAGAGGAAGAAGAAGAAGATGTTGAGATGAAAGATGAAGAAGATGAAGAGAAGAGAAAGAGAAATGGTGAGAAGGAAAATGGAAAGAAAAAAGAAGATGAGGAGGAGGAGGAGAAGGAAAAGGATGAACGATACCGACCGTCTGTGTCTCGAAAGAACAGTCGACGCTCACGCTCTAGATCACCTCAATCACCGTCAAGATCTTCTCGTCGTCGTCGTCATCGACGCGATTCATCGTATTCGCGCTCACGCTCTCCTCCGCGTAGTCGACATGTTCGACGTGGTGGCTCTCGCTCGCGTTCTGCACCACGAGACAGACATTCACGTGGACGCAACCATGATCGTCGTAGCCGTCGCAGAGGACGCAGCTACAGTCGTAGCCTCAGCCCGAGTTACAATCGTGGTCATCGCCGGTTGGAACGGTCCAGCTCACGCGATCCACCACGTCATGATGCAAACAGCTCGCCAGAAGCGCATCAACATCCTCCTGTTGCTCCCGATACTGCCCCCGCTGGTGTCGGCATTGCCCCGCATGCCCCAAGCACTGGTGTAAATCCAACTATTACGCAACTAATGGCTCAGTATCCGACGATGAGTCTGCAGGACATCATTGCCAAGATGCAGGCGTCAAATGTGACGATGGCAGCCGCAGTAGCCCAAAAACCAGCGCGTGAACTGTACGTTGGCAATTTGCCTCCTAACGTGACGGGTCCACAGCTACAGGAGTTTCTGAGCACTATTATTCAACAGGTGGGGCTTACAACACAACCCGGAAACCCGATTATTAACACGTGGATTTCTACGGACGGTCATTTTGCTTTTTGCGAAATGCGGTCTGTCGAGGAATGCAACTTGGCGCTGCTGCTGAATCAGTTGTCACTTCTTGGGCAGCCACTAAAATTTGGCCGACCACGCAGTTTCATGGGTCCGCCCCAGCCTATGCCTCAAATTTCGGCGCGCACGCAGACGGCCCTTACAAACTTGGGCTGCACACCTAATCCGGCTTGGTTCGCACAGCCTCCTATTCCGAGTATTACGGAGGCAACAACAGAGTTGCCAACACTATCAGGATCTGCCATCATGGCTCTGGTTCCGGATATCAAGCCTGCCGTCACCACTGCTACTACAGCAGTTTCTGCCGGCTCACACCACCTTATTATGTCCAACATTCCAGTTGTGTTAGCGGAGGACCAAGTAAAGGAGTTAGTAGAGCCGTTTGGGGCGCTCAAAAGCTTTATATTGATCAAGGACGCTGTCACGGGTGCCTCCATGGGCAGTGCTCTATTTGAATACGAAGATGAGACTGTTGCCGCGCAAGCGTTGGAAGGTTTAAATGGACTAAGCATTGGTGGCATTCTTTTATCTGTACAGCGCCAGCCTCTCTCTAGCGAAGCAGCGCTTGGAGTTCTACCTGGAACGGTCCCTAATCCTGAGGATCAGCCTAGTGCTGTCCTAAAAATGGTAGGATGTTCTCAGTCCAGTAGAGCCAACAGCTTGTGTTGAACCTGTGTCTTGTTCTCTTTGTTATGCAGGCGAATATGGTTTCTGTGGATGAGCTAAAGGATGATGAAGAGTACGCTGATCTTGCTGAAGATGTAGAGGAGGAGTGCAAGCGCTTTGGAAATGTGACTCGCTTAGAGATTCCGCGTCCTAAGGTTTTGTCAAGTTGTTTTGTGTCATGTTAAAGTACAATTAGGTGGATGGCATACGAATAACTTTTTTGCGCTGGTTATGATGTATATAGGACGGAGAGGAAGTCCCTGGCTTAGGTTGCATCTACGTTTGCTTTGGGAAGGAAGAAGACGCAGCCTCTGCTTTGAAGGTACAGACCATTGCATCACACTCGTTGTTGCTTTTGTGCCATGATCTCATTAGCTTCGCACTTTGTAACAATAGGCGTTGAATGGACGCAAGTTTGGCGGAAACATTGTTAAAGTGACCTACTTCCCGGTGGACAAGTTTGAGAAGCTCGAGTTCGTTTGAGCGCTTAACGGCGAGAAACTGAAGATGCTGATGTGCAACTCGAGGTCCATTTCTTTATTTTTCTCTTTTATCATGTGCCAAGAAAACGCGGAGGACGGATGGGCAGTTTGAACTGCGATGAGCATGCAGAAGGTTTGTACGGTGAACGTCAAAGGACGTTTACGCGTCAGCTAACCGCAACGTGCTGCCGCGATGTGTAGATCGAATCCAATGAATATGGCCTTCAATATTGTGTGCGCGAGAGCTACTTTTGTTCGGTGTTGTGTCTCATATGTGTATGTGTTGTTGCTGATTCGCTACTGTGCTTATGTAGAGACTTGCAGTCAAAGCAACGAACAACAGGAAGAGCAGACTGTACCCGTGCACTAGTCTCCGTATATTCTGAGACTGTCCTTGTCGGCATACTCTGTGACCTGGGTGGCTGAACACGTTTGACAGTATTTATCATGGTGGTGGACAAGTAAAGAACCACGAAGTAGAAATAAATGTGCTTGTCGTGGACTAGGTACGTTGTGGTTGCTAAGGATGTATCGCATGAACCTTTCTCGCGCTAGTAATGAATGAACAGACGATGCCGGATCATGTTTTCGTATCATGCATGTCGAGTTTTAGTTTTGTTGAATGTATTTATTGCATGCAGGTAACGAACGACCCAAATTTGCTTTCAACGAGGCTTCTACTACTTTATCTACAAAACAGCGCATTTGTCTTATTGCTCGGGGTTCAAAGGAAACTGCCGGATCATCGCAATCTATCTATGTTTCCTGATGCATCCTAGTCTTGTGCGCATGGATGATGTTACATGTGCACGAGTATGAAATGTAGGTGCAATTCCTGCTTGCCTGTGACTTGAATAAAACGAATAGTATGACAAGCAATGTCGCTTCAATCATTTTGTTGCAACTCACGTTTTACTATCAAGCAAGCAAGAGGTCAAGCAAAGGTTTACGTCCGCCTGCGACGAACGAGTCATCTACTCTCCAAGCACTGTCAACATCTTGGAAACCCGCTTTCTTGAGAGCTTGGAGCTGCTGAAACATGGATAGTTGTCCCACATGGTCTGCAAACACAATATGTCCTCCAGGACGCAATGCACGCCACGTTGCTCGGAAGAAAACGCGGTATTTCTCCTTCACATCAAGTTCTTGCTCATCTCGTGTTTGTGCATAATGCAAAGGCTGTTCCACCAGCACGTGAAAAGCTAGACATGCTACAACCAAGTCCATGGACTCGTCAGCACAAAGCTGTATTGAGTCACTCGGTGTCAGCGTCATCACGTGAGAAACAACGTGATGTGGTGCCAAACGTTGACGCGCCATTGACAACCGCTGTTCTGATGCGTCCACAAGAGCTACATGGGCCGTTGGATACGCCTTCAACAAAGCGAATGCAGCGCGTCCACTTCCTGCACAAAGGTCTAGTACCTGTTTATCACCACATGGAGGAAGAGCAAACACTAGCTGCTGGAGCATTGTTTTGGCCTGTGGAAGACGTTTTTCAAGCTGTAGATCGTACCAATAGGGATCACCCCAGAAACCACCTTTATCACGTTTTAGATTCTTGAGCCATGAATCTTCAGAACTCATTGATTCAAAAGCTGTTGAGCTGTTGCGTCCAGAAGAAAGTGAGCCAACTTTGATTCGATGGCCAACATCTTGAGACGGGACGCAGACCTGGTAACGAAAAGATCTTATTCTTGTCATCTGGCGTTATCGAATGTCAGATCGAACGGAAATGCTCTTTAACTGTAGTACCATACCCTGATAAGGTTTACAAACCCTTTTTTCTCTACTTATTTATACATAAGTATCCATTCCAGCACGCCTCCACGTCACACCGATTTTACCAATCTGTTGCTATTGTTGACAAGATCCCTTCCTTCTCCCATAACTAAAAATCAATCTCTACACGTCTTTTTATTATGATTAGTGACACTTCTGCTTGGAAAGCTCTAACCGAGCACGTGACCGAGATTAAAGCCACACACCTTCGTACTCTCTTAACCGATGATACACGTAATGCGTCCATGCGCATGGAACAAGAGGATATTTACTTTGATTTTTCCCGTCAAAATGCGACCACGAAAACACTTGACTTGCTCGTAAACTTAGCTGAAGCTGCTGATCTCAAGACAAAATTACAAACCATTGCTTTGGGTGAGCACGTAAATGTTACCGAGGATCGTGCTGCCATGCACATGGCATTACGTGCTCCAAGGACCGAGAAAATCTATGTTGATGGTCATAATATTGTCCCTGAAATCCATCATGTACTGGATCTTGTCCGTCTTTTTTCTGACAATGTACGAACTGGATCTTTTCGTGGAGCGACTGGCAAACACTTGAAGAACATTATTTCAGTCGGTATTGGTGGCAGTTATCTTGGTCCAGAGTTTGTATTTGAAGCATTGCGTCACGAACCTGTGGCGAAAACTGCTGCAAAAGGTCGTAATCTTCGTTTTCTTGCTAATGTTGATCCAGTTGATGTCGCACGTGCTACTGATGGATTAAATCCGGAAGATACACTTGTGATTGTCGTGTCCAAGACATTTACAACTGCCGAGACAATGTTGAATGCTCGTACGCTTCGTAAATGGATTGTCGATGATTTGATTCATAAAGGAAGCACTGAAGCTAATGCGGTAGCGAAACACATGATTGCAGCTAGTTCAGCAGTATCACTGGTACAGGAATTTGGCATTGACCGTGCAAATATTTTTGAGTTTTGGGACTGGGTTGGTGGTCGTTACAGTGTCACGAGTGCCGTAGGTATCTTACCTTTAGCACTACAGTACGGCTTTGACGTAATGGAGCAGTTTCTGGCTGGTGCCCACGCGATGGACAAACATTTGCTGGAGGCTCCGTTGCGCCGTAATTTGCCAGTGCTAATGGGTCTATTGGGCGTATGGAACTCATCGTTTCTCGGACACAGCTCGCGTGCTCTGTTGCCATATTCGCAAGCACTATTGCGTTTTGCTGCCCATATTCAGCAGGTGGACATGGAGAGCAATGGGAAGCGCGTGAGTATGGAAGGTGTGGACCTTCCATTTCAGGCTGGAGAAGTGAACTTTGGCGAGCCCGGCACGAATGGTCAGCACAGCTTTTACCAGCTTATTCATCAAGGTCGAGTTGTGCCTTGCGACTTTTTAGGCTTTTGCGAGTCGCAGAACCCTGTGAAACTTCCAGGTGAGCTCGTATCGAACCACGATGAGCTCATGTCCAACTTCTTTGCGCAGCCAGACGCTTTGGCACGCGGCAAGTCACTCGAGGACTTGAAGGCCGAGAATGTACCCGAGCATTTGCGCAACCACAAGCTTTTCCCAGGCAATCGCCCATCGATGTCGTTGCTATTCAAGAAGCTGGACGCATTTTCGGCCGGTCAGCTGCTGGCACTATACGAGCACCGTACGGTGGTACAAGGTTGTATTTGGGGTATCAACAGCTTTGATCAATGGGGCGTAGAGCTCGGCAAGGTACTTGCCAAACAGGTGCGTGCACAGCTCAGTGCCTCACGAACGGACAAGGCTCCGGTAAAGGGCTTTAACAGCGCCACCACTAGCATGCTCGAGGCCTATTTGTCATACAAAGCTTAGGCTTTTTGTTTGACAAATCGTCGATTTGTTTTGTTTTGCACACGTCTAAGCTACATGTTAGGAGATAATTGAACATGTGAGTTTCAGAGCGTAATGAGTTTTGTTTGTAGCCAGATGAAAGCATTTGGATCACTTGTAAGATTATCAGATTCTATTGAATTTTATATAGTCAACAAATGCTAAACGCTTTGATTGAGTCAGAGACGACTCTTTAAAGACGTTATCAGTATATTATCTCCAATACATAATGATTGCATCAATGTAACACGTTCCATATCATACGTGAGGTATCAAGCATGGGATTGGTTGAAAACCACGAGGGTATTCAAAACCTTCTTGTATCTGTTATAATAATGATTTATGCACCCGCCATCACTCAAAATCACCTGAGACGGTGGTAATACCGTTGCTAGCAGAGAGTAAAGAAGCGTCAAGAAGCTTCAGGCGACGCTTTAGAGAAAGAGAGAGCACGTAGTTTTACAGTGTCAGTAATCAATTATCGTCGCATTGAATCAATCAATTTTTATGCACATGGCCCCGTCCACATATCGTACAACAGACACTACCACTACAAGTACGTCACCACGCCCTCCACGTCCTTCGTCTCTTCCTGGACCAGAGCTTGGGTCGTACATATGGGATCAAAAATTGAATGATAAAACTGATCATTTATCATCAAAACACCAGCAAAAGAAAAGTGTTAACGAACATACAATGTCCGTATTACGACGCTGCCAAAACTTGAATGCCTTCCGATGCACGCAATTGGTTTTATGGCGTCGTCGGTATTTTGAAGGTATTTTACGTTGGGAAGCAGCATTGCGCATGTTGTTTGTGGCTTTTCCAACGCTCGTGTTCCAGCGTGTTGAGAATGCACGCACGATTGTATCGTTCTTTTTTGTATATGTGATGTTGCAAGCATTAGCAATCCTTTGGGGGTTTCTATTTAATGTTGGAGCTGTCTTGGGTGAAAATATGAGTACAATCATTACAATGCCATTGATACAAGCAATTTGCGTCCTCGTGGTGTACGTATCAGTGATGGGCATTGTTTTGTCATTCGGACGTGCGACGTGGATCCTCACGTGGCAGTCACTGCAAAATTTCCCACTTATTCGACGCATTATTGCCTGCGAATGTAGTCCACAAGCAGTGATTTTTACGGTAGCCATGCCCATGTTGCTCATTCTTCCAAGTTTGATAACGGTGCCTTCACACTGCACTGGCACAGGGTTACAAGAGTCATCGGCCTTTGTTCACGCCATGTGTGAAGAATCTTACCTAAAGCTTTTAACGGACAAGCATCCGGTGTTTCAGCGTGCGTTGCGTATCTCTACTGCCATTGCCATTTGTCAGTTTATCCAGCTTTGTTTGGAGATTTTACCACGGTGGCGTTCAGCGCTTGCAGGACTCAGCACCATAAAGACTTTTTTTCTTGGCATATGGTTGCTAGGAATGAACTTTTTGGGTGGTTTATGGACTGTTGAATGGACTGCGCGGCACTTTGGTTTAAAGATTACGCCCTTGAGTGACCTGACAAATTATCAGTGGGAAATCTTTGGCATGGCTTTGCTCGTAGGATGGATTATTTGGTTCTTGGCCATAACGTGTTTTACATATCCCAATGTGAGCGAGTGTGACTCGAACAAAAAGGCACTTTCAGGTTTCTTTGAGCGACTCAAATTCACTTTCGCTGTTGGTCAGGGCATAGTTTTTTTCCGAGCTTGCGTCCATCCAAACATGGGATTTGTGCACGCTCAGCTGGAGCTTACCATTATCAATTTGTTGCTGCCGTCAATTTACGTGGTATCTCTCATCTGTCTTCGAATGGTAAGCCTGCTAAGCGCCCGTGCGGTGCTCATCGCCGGTCCTTTGGCCCTCGGAGTTGGCACAATTATTTTTGTTGGCTCTAAGATGACGCAAAAAACTCATGCTTTTGTTGTGGTGTGTCTGTTCTTCTTTGATCGCTTTTTGCGCTCCGAGGCGGTTTCATCCTTGAGCGAAATGGGCCAGTCTCTTCAGCAAATGCTGCAAGATACTTCATTTGACAAGAAACATCCATTATTGGGCCACAGTGCGGCCAAGAAATTTGTATACATTGCAATTACTATCTTGTTGCTATTTGTAGGAGCGCTTTCGGGATTCAGTGTTCTCTCTGCCCTCCAGAAGAGCGCAAAGTGGTTCCCGGATGCTACGTCTGTGGAGTATAAAGACAACTCGATCCACATACATCACACAGGAGTTGTGAAACTACATCTTGGTCTTGCAAACAAAACAAATCCAGCAATTACAGTTGACGATCCACTTTACGCAAGCTGCTCCAATCGCTGGAATGGACTGAGCTTGATTGATTTAGCTTTCTTTGCAGAAGCGGCATATTTTGACCCTTTGTCAAATGACACGACGCAATTTGTTTCGACGATTTTTGACAACGATTTGGGTGCCGTTCACATTTACTTGCCTGAGTTGAACACGAAAACCGGATCCAAATTAGACTTCTTTGAAGCATATATCCCAAAGCTTAACACAAGCGTCATTTCTGTGCGAGGCACTGATATTTGGAGATTTACGGATTTTGTTGAGGATGTGAAAATGTTTTTCGAACCCGTGGTCTTTTCAGTGTTGTCGTCGATCTTTCCAACAATCCGTATTTGGCCTGACGTCACATTCTCCACTTTGATTGAGCTGTATAGTGAGATGATTGGATTGTTTGGTTTGCAACATGAATCGTGGTATTATCAAGAGCTGCTGGACTACGTCACCTCTCTCACGGATCGAAAAGTGGTGCTGACGGGTCATTCAATGGGCGGGGGCATTGCGCGACTTGTTGGCTCGATTGTCGGGACCATTTCTGTAACCTTTTCACCACCTGGATTCGTCCAGAGCTACAGCAAACTGATCCACCATATTGGCGGAACATCAATGAAGGTTGACCGAGCAAGCCTGCATCACCGTAACGTTGCTGTGGTACCCGAATATGATCCGATTACCATGATTGATGCCCAAGCTGGCATGATTCAGAAGATCTCGTGTGATACACCACATTTGTCAATGCAGCTGTCGTGCCACATGCTTGAAGGCACAATCTGTAACTTGGTGGAGCACTGTGGATCTGCTAGGCGCCGGATTTCATCGTGTCTTTTTGAGCACAATATTGCTGGAGCGACAGAAGATATGATTCCTAGAGTACTTCCAACAATCTCCAAGCCCGAGATTTACGTTCTCGCGGCAGTGACGGTATCAATAGCCCTATCCATGTTGCTTCGTCGTCATCGTCGTAAAGTGCGGACGCCGCTATCGTCACCGTCTCATTGCAGCAGAAGGACGAGTAGATCTCCAGTTCGCTATCTGCATAGCTCAGGACGTGTACAGGCACCTCATCCGTCACTGCATCTCCGGCGTAAATCCATTATTTAGTTTAGATAGAAATAAAAGACGTGCATTTGCTTGTACTTGGCGCTAATCAAGAAAAGAGGAAGTAGAGTGTTGTAAATATGTGGCACACTGTGGATTTCTATCCCATTTTACGGGATCTTTTCGCTACGATCTCTTTCATTAATGTCTCATGATCAAGCTACATTACATGGTGGTAGTTAGTCAGTATTCGCGCTATGTTCTTGCTATCCAGTAATACTCACTGAGATATCCATACAACAAATAAACACCAGCCAAAACACGATGGATCGGGTGGGAACCCATCCCCGTCGCGTCAGCGTTCTCAAACCTATGAACGTCAATACATCATCATAAGTGGGTACTACATTTCCACACTTGCGATCAACCTCATCCGTTCCTGTTTCCTCTTGTTAAATCGATTAAGTTTGTACTAAGCGTGTTTCTTTCCTTGTAGCTTAAGTGTCAAGAATGCGGCAAGGACACACACAAGAGAGAGAGAGTGATGGTCACTTCAACTTTGACGCTTCAAACCCGTGGGTTGTCGCATTCGACCCACGGGTTAGTATTCCCATTGCCAAGTGGCGTGATTTCATCGTTTCGGTCGTCGTCTCCTTCTTCTTCTTATTATCATTACTATTAAGTAACCCACTTACGTTACGTCTTGACAAGCATGAATGATCCATTGGAATGGTACTATGAGATTCCTATCGTCTCACGATTATACCTGACAGGCTCTTTTCTTACGACTGCGGCTTGTGCACTCGAACTTGTCTCACCATTTTCACTCTATTTCAACTTTAACCTTATTTTTTTTAAAGGACAAGTACGTGCTATTTCTTCTATTTAGCGTCAAGAGAGCTACACTATAAATGGAATGTAACATGCGATTATGTCTATCAATTTTTTTTTTATCATTGTAATAAAAACAAAACAGGTATGGAGATTAGTCACCAACTTTATGTTCTTTGGACTTTTCAGTCTAGATTTTCTCTTTCACATGTACTTCGTGTACGTAATACTTCATTCATTCTGTGGGCATTATTCTAACAGTAAAATCAAATTTTCACCTGTCTTTCAATACGATTATTTTCTTCGTTCTTTATGACTAGTGTCCGCTATTGCAGATTATTAGAAGAAGGGTCTTTTCGTGGTCGAACGGCGGATTTTGTCTACATGCTACTACTTGGAGCTCTTGCAATGATTGTACGTCGTGGATATTGCTAAGTTAAACCTTTTATTTTGATATTTGTTGTCCTGTAATTTGACAGTTGGCTTGTTTTGTGTATTTACTTGGAAAAAATCTATCGATCTAGTTAGTCGCACCGTTTGTGAGCATTCACTTTCTTGGCTCGTCGCTGACATTTATGATGGTGTATCTATGGGGTCGACGTAATGAACACGTGCGAATGAGTTTTCTTGGATTGTTCCCATTTGCAGCGCCATATTTGCCATGGGTACTTTTTTTCTTTTTCAATCTTGCTGGGAAATAGTGCAACAACAGATTTGATTGGCATTATTGTTGGACATGGATATTATTTCTTGGAAGGTAAGCAAATTAAAAATTGCAATATAGTTTGTATTTGGTCGTTAGCGATTTTCTAATGCTGTGACTATGACCAATATATATATATATATAGATGTGTACCCTACAATTGCCAACATTCGAGGCTGGAAAACCCAGCGACCGCTTGCAACCCCACGTCTCATGTAAGCTTATTTGTGTTGCAAAGTGTTTGTGTTGCTTGTAAACTCATGCTATACTCATGGCTCTTCTTCTTTTTCTGTTTCTCTAACCCTTTAAACAGCTGCTACTTGTTTGATCCACGCCCTGTTGTCGTGGCCGGTGAGCAAGTGATCAATCACTTTGGTGCAAACGGCAACGATCACCTGCACATGGAGTAAGCAAGCATTTTATGGTTTGAAACAAGAACATTTGAAGGCAAAGCAGCGAGTTATTGTTATTCAGAGGCTGCTGCTCTAAAAGCTCAAGACGACAATGCACATACCTTTTTGTTTGTTTGATTAACCTGACACTGCTTTTTTTAAGCACACACCATGAGACAATAATCACAGCCATTGATCTTTGAAATAGGTCCGACATCAATTGACACAAAAAGGTTGCTGGCGCGTTATCCGCCGTGCAAATGGCACCATCCTTTGCTTTCAGAAGCTCTTCAAACTCTTCTGCGTGAAAGAGTGCTGCAAACTTATTTGCTTCAAGTTCTTAGAAGACCGACACCATTTTTCAGCTGATATTGGGTTGCTCACGTTAATGTTGAAGCTGAAATTGCACGCTTGAATTGGACTATAGCCCATCATTCCTTTCGCTTCTCCCGACGCAGCATAAGATGCAGATGAAGTCGAAAGACCAAAAAGGCCACTGGAAAGCGCTTTGTCTGTTTAGGCACTTTGCAATATAGCTGGACCAATACCAAGTTGTCTGTCAGTCAGTATTTGACGAGCTTTGCAGAAAGAATTGTTGGAATAGCATAGCAATATAAAACACAAAACTAGGAGGCCTTGGTCATTTCGGTGCTGTGCAGTGGTGTTGCAACAAGAACGGTATCATTAATCTGTTAATTTGCTTCAGTCTTCCAGTCTTGACATTGACAACAAAAGCTTTACTTTCTTGAGCTCTTAACGCGGAGAGCTACATGATTGTACAGCTCCACCTACAATTTTCTGATTCTTATGGACGATCATGAGATTGATCAGCACGTTTACAGGCTTTTGTTCATATGATGTCGTAACAACCAGGCGTACTGTAACTTTCATTCTCTTCCGCAACATGCAACGCCTTCAGCCGCTTGGTATTTTTCTTTTAAAAGCTGCATTGAACAGGGACCTAGGACGTCGGACGGCGTCATGTTGATGTCCATACGAATCGTGGACTCTTGCCTTCACAGGATTCCACCATATTTTTGTGAAACGGCAAATGAGCAAGTTGCAAGGTGATGTAATGGAGGCACTCCAGACCCTACGAAGTATGCTTGTTAGCGGCTCAGCATCCATCAGCACCAAGTGAAGAATGCATTCAACTATCGATTGTGGTATCAAGGCTTTACTTTGCTCTTGGCAACAGCTTTATTGTTACAGCCTTGTTTTACTCGAGCACTCGAATACATTTCTCGTCGTACTCACATGCACAAACTTAGGCGTACTACCTGGCTGAAGGCATGTAAGGACAAGTGCTGTACGATCCTACTGCACGTACCCTGTTCATACCAACACAAAGCCTCATTGCCGTTTTATTAACACCTGCAAAGCACAAATACTAGACACGAAGATTTTTTCTTTATTATGGATCGAGCGTGAAAGGTGACACGTGAATTTTCAATTGCCACCAAATCATGGTGAAAATGACAGCTTTGCAAGCCTAAGTATAAACTGCCTCAAAATCGTAGTTAGGTGATCGTGATGGTGGACCTGGTGCGGGTAGACGGATTGGATCTGTTAAATATGATACTGGACCAAATGGATCTGGTGGTGGTGCTGGGGAACCATATGGACCTGGTGGTGGACCTGGTGGAGGGGAACCATATGGACCTGGTGGTGGGGAACCATATGGACCTGGTGGTGGACCTGGTGGAGGGGAACCATATGGACCTGGTGGTGGTGCTGGGGAACCATATGGACCTGGTGGTGGACCTGGTGGAGGGGAACCATATGGACCTGGTGGTGGGGAACCATATGGACCTGGTGGTGGACCTGGTGGAGGGGAACCATATGGACCTGGTGGTGGGGAACCATATGAACCTGGTGGTGGGGAACCATATGGACCTGGTGTTGGAACTGGTGTTGGACCTGGTGCTAGGGGATCGTATGGACTTGGTGTTGGACTTGGTGTTGGGGGATCGTATGGACCTAGTGTTGGGGAACTGTATAAAAGCGGTGGACCTGGTGCTGGGGGATCGTATAGACCTGTTGGTGAAACGAGTGCTGGGGGACCGTATAAAATTGGTGCTCCGTTTGGTTTCTCTAAACCTGGAATCTTCTCGATAGCGTTGAACGTGCTGACGGGATTGATGAACTTGGTGTTGAGTGCGTGTGAACCTGGTCCATCAGGATTTTGGAACGGGATACAGTTCTTTCGCAGCAAAATAACACCCAAAGTTTCTATGTGATCGGTGATTATACCATGGATGCCACCCAGCTTATAATCAGCAGAAGTTTTGAATACATGGGTATCGGTATCTTTATCGATGCCACCATTGACAATTGTATTCAAGTTGGTCTTAAACTCAACGAACTGAAGAGCTGTATTTTTTTTAGATTTAGGCCAGCACACCCGAACCGACTCGATGAACTCTCCATCCTTAAGGTAATGTTGGCTCAGTTTGCCAACTTCTTTACCGTGACACAGCTCCAACACCGTATCACCTGATTTGGATCTAATGCAGATGCTGTTAATGCACTTATCCCCTCGAACATGGACGGAAACTATAGTTGAATCGGGCGCTACTTTTTCAAAGTCGGAAAAGGTCTTGCTTTCATCAGAAGTGCCGTAGGCTCGTTCCACTACTTTACATGCGTCGTCACCAGCAACGCGGGTTGCGATTAGTGCCAGCGCTGCGACGAGATGGAACAACACTCGTACCATTGCACACTTCTTCAGATTCTTTAACCGTATCGATGACTTGAGTTCGATGACTTGAGCTGTAGACCGCGAATGTAAAAATGAACAGGGAAGAAAAATACTTGAACAATGTCCTGGTGCCATTGCGTTGTTGTATACATTCGTTGCAACTTCAGCTCGCCTCTTCGTCTCACCATCGGAAGATTATCCTGTGCAGTGTTTACCGTAATCTTCCTGTCGGAAATCGAGCTACAACCTATCGACGGCCTTGTCTATGATGTGTCTGACATACATTAAACTTGATAAATATAGAGCCAGCTAATACATGAAGTAAAATGCCAAGAACGACGAGTAGCTAATCACTTCCTATGATCACGATAAAGCGATTGCACCTTCAGGCTACAACATGACGCTTAGCTTAGCACTGAGTCGCATCTTGAACGCCCTGTTTTTTTTTCGACGCACCCTCCTACCGTTTTTACCGCTCTTAGCTAATGATACCACAGATTTATGTGAAGATAGAGGTCCTTGACGTTACTATCAGAGCTAAATTCTTTGTAAGTTACATTGTATCAGATTCAGCCATAACAAGTAATATGTTAAAAAGTTTATCTTATGGATAATTCGGACGGTCGTTTAAACTGGTGTTCCGGCCAGCACATAGCTCCGTACATGACGAACATACAAGCAAAAACAATCTGTGGTTGGTCGTATCGTTAAAATTAATTGTCTGTATACTCCATTATAACACTTTACGCTTACAGTACTAGCTAGTAAGTACCATACGGATATGATCCAAGAAAAGCCAACTTTCAGACTGTTGGAAAACTTGCCTGTGAGTCGTTCGTGAAGTACCCTTTATGCTGACGGTCAAGACGCAGATGTGGACGCAGTTAGAGCAACCTTAGCTTTTCCACAGAGTCTTTGACTGTTTGAAGAAGACTCTAGAGGAACGAAATCATGAAGTAGCAGTAAGATCTCTCTTTACCTTTCAGCAAACATTTGCTCATTTTCTTGCCATTGCCGAATGTTTGGTGATAGTTGGAAGGGAGCTGTATGGATGTTTCTATCCCATGACGATCCATCGACAACTCTGTTGTGCACACATCGCTGCTAGGTTTGCGAAGGATATATGGCCTTGACGCAACGATGCAGACGTTGTATGTAAGGCTTATGGACACAAGCCAGCGATAACGCTGGCGTCAGAGAGGCTTCTAGTCGTAAAGAATGAACAAGACAATTTGGCAGCTAACGACCGACCAGTTGGCATAGGAACGCCGTTTGTGTGTCACATGACCAAAGACCGGACCTACTGCAGAACCAGGTTTTGCACACAGAGTCAGTTGATGTGCACACGCTCCGTATATCGTGTTTTCTGGCGGCTGTGCTGTTTTTGCCTACTAGCTCGTAGTGTTGTGTTGGGATACGTTTAAGTTAACCGTCTCGACAAATCACGCTTTTCAGACATAGTTGGCTGCCTATCGACAAGTCTTACACCGAACACTTTTACCGTGAGACCATGCCGTCGTTGGTACGAGATTGCAGCTAATCTGCTTCTAGGAAACTACACATGATCAAAGTATCGAATATTTTGATGTTTTCTGCTGTCAAAGACATGTATAACGTTAATGACTCGCTAATAATGCTAGCATCACCATAGGATTTTTGTTGAAGAGTACAATGTTAAAGCTCGCCGATGACGACAATATCATCGTTATTCAACATCGTAATGCCTTAACTACCGCTATGCAATGGTATTTTAAACAAAAGGGTTGTACATGTAATCGTTTGTGTCTTCATAAAGCTGTGAAAGGAAGTGGAACTGAATGAGATCTACCTACCATCTCAGTAGCCGTCGATATCTTTCAGGTCGAAAAAAAGAGTCAATCGATTTCTTACTCTTTACTATATCGATAATCACACGCATCGAATGGTTTATTTTCATCGGTCTTTTTATTATTCACATGAGCGTCACGTGTGATTCTATACATCAAAGAGCTCGCATTATCGTCAATTCATCACCACATTTTATGCTGCAAGAAAAAGTAAATTTGTATTGTTTTTTCTGCTTTTTCGTCGCACGCGTACGGCAAAAATGAGCTTCCATTAAAACCTACACAGTATCAAAGTAATAGCTTACCATCATCTGGAGAATAAAGAAGCTTGACTTGTGGTGATCCCTCAGTATGCACTATGCACTTGGGTTCGCGCGAACGTAACCCGACTGGTAAGCGGTAGTTGTTGGTCCGTAAGCATTGAACTGTTCCAAGTTTGGACTATAAGGACGTGCTGCGGCGTTGTAACCTCCTGCTGAAAAATATCCTGGAGAGGGAGTAGGGGGCGCGTAAAATCCTACAGCAGGGGAGGGGCCGTAAGGTCCTACAGGAGGGGAGGGGCCGTAAGGTCCTACAGGAGGGGAGGGGCCGTAAGGTCCTACAGGAGGGGAGGGGTCGTAAGGTTCTCTAGTGTAAAATTTATGTTTGTTCTCATCTGTATCACTTGAATCATCATCATCCTTGTCAGCTGAACCCTCGCACGAACCATCGTCCTTGTCCTTTTCATGGTCACCGGGAGGCGGTGTTGACTCTGGAGGGCCACAACCAGATATTTTCGTCCACAGGGGAGCGACTGAGTACAGCTTGTAACTACTTGTGCCTGTAATGCCACACATTTTGTAGTCTTCAGGCGCTTCGTACAGCTTCTCTTCACCCTCTAAAGTACCGCCCGTGATCACATTATTCAAGCTGGTAGTAAAAGACAAGCCAAGAACTGTAGTTCGTTCATTATGCTTACCCCAAAAGATTTTCACTGAAACAATAATCTCTTTCTTAGGATCAATCGCATGGTATGTCCATTTACCACCATTTCCACCGTGATACATAGAAAAAGTCGTGTTGTTCTTGGTTGCCCAGAAAAAGCCGCAGCCGTCGATGACCTTGCCAGATCTTATTCCAATGCCGATAACATCTCTATTAGAGTCACAATTTTTCATGTCTGAGAATACATTGCCGTGTGTATAACCACCGAGATTGGGGAAAGCAAATTTACAAGAAGAGTCACTATAAACAGTAACGGAGCCTGCGATTAGTATCAGCGCTGCGACGAGATGGAACAACACTCGTACCATTGCACACTTCTTCAGATTCTTTAACCGTATCGATGACTTGAGTTCGATGACTTGAGCTGTAGACCGCGAATGTAAAATGAACAGGGAAGAAAATACTTGAACAATGTCCTGGTACCATTGCGTTGTTGTATACATTCGTTGCAACTTCAGCTCGCCTCTTCGTCTCACCATGGAAGATTACCCTGTGCAGTGTTTACCGTAATCTTCCTGTCGGAAATCGAGCTACAACCTATCGACGGCCTTGTCTATGATGTGTCTGACATCATTAAACTTGATAAATATAGAGCCAGCTAATACATGAAGTAAAATGCCAAGAATGACGAGTAGCTAATCACTTCCTATGATCACGATAAAGCGATTGCACCTTCAGGCTACAACATGACGCTTAGCTTAGCACTGAGTCGCATCTTGAACGCCCTGTTTTTTTTTCGACGCACCCTCCTACCGTTTTTACCGCTCTTAGCTAATGATACCACAGATTTATGTGAAGATAGAGGTCCTTGACGTTACTATCAGAGCTAAATTCTTTGTAAGTTACATTGTATCAGATTCAGCCATAACAAGTAATATGTTAAAAAGTTTATCTTATGGATAATTCGGACGGTCGTTTAAACTGGTGTTCCGGCCAGCACATAGCTCCGTACATGACGAACATACAAGCAAAAACAATCTGTGGTTGGTCGTATCGTTAAAATTAATTGTCTGTATACTCCATTATAACACTTTACGCTTACAGTACTAGCTAGTAAGTACCATACGGATATGATCCAAGAAAAGCCAACTTTCAGACTGTTGGAAAACTTGCCTGTGAGTCGTTCGTGAAGTACCCTTTATGCTGACGGTCAAGACGCAGATGTGGACGCAGTTAGAGCAACCTTAGCTTTTCCACAGAGTCTTTGACTGTTTGAAGAAGACTCTAGAGGAACGAAATCATGAAGTAGCAGTAAGATCTCTCTTTACCTTTCAGCAAACATTTGCTCATTTTCTTGCCATTGCCGAATGTTTGGTGATAGTTGGAAGGGAGCTGTATGGATGTTTCTATCCCATGACGATCCATCGACAACTCTGTTGTGCACACATCGCTGCTAGGTTTGCGAAGGATATATGGCCTTGACGCAACGATGCAGACGTTGTATGTAAGGCTTATGGACACAAGCCAGCGATAACGCTGGCGTCAGAGAGGCTTCTAGTCGTAAAGAATGAACAAGACAATTTGGCAGCTAACGACCGACCAGTTGGCATAGGAACGCCGTTTGTGTGTCACATGACCAAAGACCGGACCTACTGCAGAACCAGGTTTTGCACACAGAGTCAGTTGATGTGCACACGCTCCGTATATCGTGTTTTCTGGCGGCTGTGCTGTTTTTGCCTACTATCTAGTGTTGTGTTGGGATACGTTTAAGTTAACCGTCTCGACAAATCACGCTTTTCAGACATAGTTGGCTGCCTATCGACAAGTCTTACACCGAACACTTTTACCGTGAGACCATGCCGTCGTTGGTACGAGATTGCAGCTAATCTGCTTCTAGGAAACTACACATGATCAAAGTATCGAATATTTTGATGTTTTCTGCTGTCAAAGACATGTATAACGTTAATGACTCGCTAATAATGCTAGCATCACCATAGGATTTTTGTTGAAGAGTACAATGTTAAAGCTCGCCGATGACGACAATATCATCGTTATTCAACATCGTAATGCCTTAACTACCGCTATGCAATGGTATTTTAAACAAAAGGGTTGTACATGTAATCGTTTGTGTCTTCATAAAGCTGTGAAAGGAAGTGGAACTGAATGAGATCTACCTACCATCTCAGTAGCCGTCGATATCTTTCAGGTCGAAAAAAGAGTCAATCGATTTCTTACTCTTTACTATATCGATAATCACACGCATCGAATGGTTTATTTTCATCGGTCTTTTTATTATTCACATGAGCGTCACGTGTGATTCTATACATCAAAGAGCTCGCATTATCGTCAATTCATCACCACATTTTATGCTGCAAGAAAAAGTAAATTTGTATTGTTTTTTCTGCTTTTTCGTCGCACGCGTACGGCAAAAATGAGCTTCCATTAAAACCTACACAGTATCAAAGTAATAGCTTACCATCATCTGGAGAATAAAGAAGCTTGACTTGTGGTGATCCCTCAGTATGCACTATGCACTTGGGTTCGCGCGAACGTAACCCGACTGGTAAGCGGTAGTTGTTGGTCCGTAAGCATTGAACTGTTCCAAGTTTGGACTATAAGGACGTGCTGCGGCGTTGTAACCTCCTGCTGAAAAATATCCTGGAGAGGGAGTAGGGGGCGCGTAAAATCCTACAGCAGGGGAGGGGCCGTAAGGTCCTACAGGAGGGGAGGGGCCGTAAGGTCCTACAGGAGGGGAGGGGCCGTAAGGTCCTACAGGAGGGGAGGGGCCGTAAGGTTCTCTAGTGTAAAATTTATGTTTGTTCTCATCTGTATCACTTGAATCATCATCATCCTTGTCAGCTGAACCCTCGCACGAACCATCGTCCTTGTCCTTGTCACCGGGAGGCGGTGTTGACTCTGGAGGGCCACAACCATCTAATTTCATCCACAGGGGAGCGACTGAGTCCAGCCTTGCACTACTTGTGCCTTCAATGCCACACATTTTGTAGCCCACAGGCGCTTCGTACAGCTTCTCTTTACCCTTTAAAGTACCGCCCGAGATCACATTATTCAAGCTGGTAGTAAAAGACAAGCCAAGAACTGCAGTTCGTTCATTATGCTTACCCCAAAAGATTTTCACTGAAACAATAATCTCTTTCGTAGGATCAATCGCATGGTATGTCCATTTACCACCATTTCCACCGTGATACATAGAAAAAATCGTGTTGTTCTTGGTTGCCCAGTAAAAGCCGCAGCCGTCGATGACCTCGCCAGCTCTTATTCCAATGCCGATAACATCTCTACTAGAGTCACAATCTTGCGTGTCTGTGAATTTATCGCCGTGTGTATAACCACCGAGATTGGGGAAAGCAAATTTACAAGAAGAGTCACTATAAACAGTAACGGAGCCTGCGATTAGTATCAGCGCTGCGACGAGATGGAACAACACTCGTACCATTGCACACTTCTTCAGATTCTTTAACCGTATCGATGACTTGAGTTCGATGACTTGAGCTGTAGACCGCGAATGTAAAAATGAACAGGGAAGAAAAATACTTGAACAATGTCCTGGTACCATTGCGTTGTTGTATACATTCGTTGCAACTTTAGCTCGCCTCTTCGTCTCACCATCGGAAGATTATCCTGTGCAGTGTTTACCGTACTCTTACTATCGAAGAACGACACAAACTAACAAAGGCCCTTGCATCTGATAGGGCAGCGCCATCGAGTCAGAATATTCTTTGAGATAAGCGAGTAGAAAACATACTGGTGTATTCAGTAACATGCCGATTCGCGCCTGGCTAAGCGCTTCTTGCATTTAGCACCTTCCTGTGTGTAAAAAACACTTGGTTCGACACAATTCTGTCGCTCAGCATAAACGTACTTAGCAAACCAATACTCAGCCCCAAAAAAAAGGCCCCAAAAAAACCAGCTCAGAAAAAACGTACCTAGCAACCATACTAATCTAGGTGCTGAACCTCAATTGGATCGTACGTGGTCGAATCCAGAATCATTTATACTAAGGAGCTCCTTCTTTTCTAATTGCTGCATCTTCTTTTTTTTCATCGTGAAGCCTATCGATTTCTTGTGGACACAAGAGCTTTATGTCCCCATTCTTTGCACAATGTTCTGATCTTATCTCTGGTCAGTTCGACAGGTTTTTCATGGCGATCTGCAAGCTTCCCAAGCTGGATGGGAACACGACAAAACTCCCTAAAGCATCTGCTGCACCTTTGCAGCTGTAACCAAAGAAAGCACCACGTAATCGTCTGCTGTGTTATAGCATTACATCGGAAAGTGCTTTGACAAGATTCTGTCTTTTTATTTGCCAGGTAACGAGACTAACTGCCTCATTCAGATGCATGAGAATATTTAGAATGTCTGCTGGGTTGTCGGAAACGCTGCCTTGAAACCAGTGTCATGCTGATATATTATTAGATCTGATTGGCATCATACACACAAACCAATTTTACCAAAGCCTTCTTTGCTATGGATTTCTTTACTTTTCAACAAACATTTGCTCATTTTCTTGCCATTGCCGAATGTTTGGTGATAGTTGGAAGGGAGCTGTATGAATGTTTCTATCCCATGACGATCCATCGACAACCCTGTTGTGCACACATCGCTGCTAGGTTTGCGAAGGATATATGGCCTTAACGCAACGATGCAGACGTTGTATGTAAGGCTTATGGACACAAGCCAGCGATAACGCTGGCGTCAGAGAGGCTTCTAGTCGTAAAGAATGAACAAGACAATTTGGCGACTCATGACCTTCTGACGAGTACGGCACTATATCGCAAGGCTTTGTCTTGCATGTATTCCTACGGTTTCTACCTCACATTAGCTAATGATATTTGCTGTGGTTCTCTTACAGAGGGATGTAATAGATACTGCATTTATCAATGAATCCATTGCTCTTGATCTATTTGTTAGGAGATCACGGTTCCGAACTGGAATCAAAACTATTTGTTCTGTCGCTGGAAAACGTTTTGCAAGAGTGGTAACGAGATAGATTAGTGTTGTTGTTTCGTGATGATAAGGATGATGGCATGTAAGAAGAGTGTCACACGTGAAAACAAATCATGTTTACAGGCTCAAATAAAGCAGTACGATTCGTTTCTACTCCATGACGATGTTCGACAGAACCCATCCCAGTCCATTGGCAGCTGTTCCTGTTGTTGTCAATTGACTTGTTGAGACAAAAGGTCATGACCACCTTTGTAACCTTTACCGTCTCGATTCAATTCAATGCAATGGCTCAAATAGTTTGAAGCTTCATGTACTTGTTGACAAAGGTTTTTGATATGTTTTCCCTACTCTTGTTTATCAAAGTCCTGCCTTTGCTTCCCACGCGTTATGCAGTTTAGAATAAGACAATCTTCATCTCGCTCTGTTTCGCGTTAAGCTGTGGCAGCAAGTGGAACTGAAGGAGATCTACTACCTCAGTGGCTGTATCTTTAAGTTCTAATATCGAAAGCTGTTTCTTGTTCTTTTCCATGTCAAGAATCACGCGTTTCGTATGCTTCATTGATAATGCCTTGATTTCCAAAAGCTTCTTGACACGTGCAGGTGTACCCACAGCAATTGGAAAGTAGGTACTGGTAAGTTGTTTGACTTGTTCATTTATCTTCAAATGCTTGCCAAAGAGTTTTGCCACACGACATTGAAATGACGCCAAGTGTCTGGAATGTATGACAATAGCAAAAGACAATAATACATCATACATGAGTCGAGAGAGAGAGAGAGAGACGTACACACATATAACCAAGAATATTAGATCTTTAGCTGCATCATACTACTACTTACTTGATGACCTCAACACACCGCAGCGCAGACGAAGAAAGGATAAGGACAATTGGACTTTTATCACGACGTTTGTCCTTACCCAGAAACTCTCGCTTGTACGTTGGCAACAAGTGATGAATATACGATGGCAGGAGTTCCAGTTTATGCTTGCCTAGACCTGTAGGTGCCAGAAAATGTGACTCTAGAAAACACCACGACCACACATTGTCATCAATACGATAATGATCCTCAGCAAATTCTCACACGTAAGATCGATCAGCTGACCATTGAGTCCATCTGCTATTTCCAACAACGTCATTTGTCCACCTCGATGCAGAAGATAAGTGTCATTAACAAGCTTAGAATGCTCCAATTCCGTCATCTTGTGCAAGCCCTTGGGATTTTGAGCCGGGCACTTGACCTGCAATAATTCATATAATTAGTTCTAGCCACTAATATTAAATCTTACAGGTTAATGTCACAAACATACAGTAGAATCGGTCTTTTGTTTCTTCATGGCGATTATTTCGTTGTGGTCAATTGTAACGTCCGTCATTTCTGTCTCACGACTGCGTTTAATGCCAGTGGCAAGTTCTAGCTCTACTTCTTCATGAAAATTATCTTCACTATTCATAGAGATAACACTCTCATCATCTGCAATCTCAATCCCTTCTGCCGTCCAGTTCATTTCAAGCTCATCGTCGTTTTGAGTCATTGTTGTAATATTTTATATTAATAGTAGTAGTAGTAGTAGTATTAATGCGACATTACTGGTTGTTATAGCAAACGAATGAATAAGAGATTTATGTGGACCACGTAGTGTATGTACATGAACTATTTGATAGCAAAAAAGTTATAAATTATCACGGGGTTTAAGGTTGATTAGCTATTCGAGCGACAATGTCTTCCATCATCATCATCATCTTTCGACGTCGAGCACATTTCACAGTACGTGTCATCATTGACAAATGTACATACAGGGCATACCCAGACTTGAGTGTCTTGATTATTCACCATAGCAAGAGCAAGAGCTTCATCTCCACTCGTATCTGGTGGAGCTATAGTCGATATCTTCATTGCGTCCGTCGACGAGTGAAAGACCGAGTCAATAAATCCAACTTCACGTTCTAAACTCTCGTCCATCACAAGGTCGTCAGCACTATCTTCCGATAACCTCATGTAAACAATGTCTCCAGCTTTAATCCTGAAAACCACACAAAAGGTGACAACCATCATCAGTTCATTTTGACAACACTTGATACAATGACACCAGCTTGATAAAGGAATGTTGCAACGTACCCGCATTGTTTGAGCGTAGAGTGATTATCCAGCACTTCACCCTTGAAATATAATCCTTGTCGTATAGGAAGTGCATCAAACTCTTCGTAGATTTTCGCCTTCAATATGTAGACGGTATCGGTAGCATTCGCCAAGACGGGCCACGTATATGCTGAGCCTGGGCGACTGCGTCGGGAACGCCGTCGACCTGGAATCGTTGCATCAAAAGCCATGCGCTCACTTGTGATTTGTACAAGTTGATCGTCATTTTGGAGCTGCCGGATGTTGATCATACGATTCGAAAAATTCTCGAGCTCATCACGATGTTTTTGGTCTAAATTCGCCTGACATTCCGCGCAAATAACGATCTCGTCATTTGTATCTTGATATGCCAACGGCACGACGCCATCAGTGCAGTCTTTGCTGTTAACAACACGCTCATTTCCATATTTCAAAGAAGAGAGGGAGCATTTGCGCCACATCACTTGCAATCCCTCTTCAGCAGACCCCGAAAGAACAGTTGCAGCGAGAAGACCGTAATAAAACGGCATATCCGGGTCGCCGTAACGTTCAGCAAGAGCCTGCATCTCGTCTAAAGACACAAACTCTACTTCTAACGAGCTTGTATCGACAACTTGTCCCTGCTGCGCTGCCAACAATCCTGAAGGCAATACCAACTTTTGATGCGTGCACAATAGAGACGACATCGTCAAGGACAACGGCGAATCTTCCTCCACGTTGCGAATGTACGCTCTCCACTGCGCTAGCCAGCGACGAGATACTAGAAACATTCGTCGTGATATTTGCGTTGCGTCTGGTTCACTCCACGATGTTTTCTCCAGCCCACTGCCGCGCTGTGCAGCGGGCAGCTCAAAGACATCACTAAGTCGCATGGAGTCCCTTTTAGGCTTTCGACGATACAACGACTCCAAAGCAGCATCTGACAAAATATCATCACGCATGTTTCGCTCAATCTGGATGCAGGCCTTGCTAGCCATTTCGTCGCTCTCACATTGCGAGCAAGGGTCTGTTGCCGATCCAGCGTACTTGGCACGGTATGGAAATTTGGCACTAAAGTACGACCATGTCTCTGCTGATACGGGCCGATATGTTCGCTTTTCCAACGTACGATTGCCATGAAGGCAAGTGATATCTTCATTGATAGGCCTTTGCCACACTTGTAATGCATCATCTCTTGCGCTTGTACTATCATTTCCATTGAAGTTTCCGTCCCTCGAAGACGCGGAAACATCATTGAGCTTCATGGATGTAAACAGTTTTCTCTCTTTCTTGCTCGTATCAGCTACGTGCGAAAGCTCCTTATGCAACATCTGGAGGTGGTTTTTATAGCTTTTAATCCATGCCCGGCTCATCAAATAGTACTTTCCGGCAGCAACCACCGCCGCCACACTTGCAGGGGAGCCCATCAGCAGTCCAAGCTCGTAATTAACTTCTTTCAAACGATTGGCGTCATTCAGGAGTTTGTTGCAAAAATCCTTTTCGCAAATGGTACAACGATAAGTTGGTGATTCAAATACTTTCATTTGTGCACTGCTCACTGAAGACCATGAACCAACCTGAGATTCAACACAACTCTCTCGAAAGTATGCAAACAGCTCTGCAGATATCCGCTTCAGCCTAATCGCATTCTCTGGCGCAAAGCGAAGTGTAGGTTGGCGGAGTTCCTTCACATCACATGCCTTAGCGTCAAAATCACTTGAGTGTGCACATCTAAAAGGTGTTACATCAATTGGCTTTGTAAATGGTATCGCGGCATCATGCAACTCGATAGCATTCGTGTCAATTGCAGCACCTGCACCTGGAGGAAGCGAAAGAGGAGAAACTGACGACATCATCTCGCCAACCATTTTCGCATTACCATCCTTATAATGTGCTCGACTAAGCATGTCGTCAGCCGCACATCCATTTAAAGCTGTAGGATCCTCACCTTCATCAGTAACATCCTTTGCTTTCACACACACAACATCCACATCAGTCGAATCAACTGTCACGTAGTTATCGTCATCGTAACGTTGGTCTCCCAATCTCTCACCCGCGTTCGAGTTTGGCACATTTGGCAATGGTTTGGTTGCAAACGCTTCCCCTGTCACGTGTGACGAATGCGACGGCATGCTAAACCTATCGTGTTCCTCACCGGTCACCCAACAACGTAACCATTCCGTGTCCACCCAGTAGAAATGAGAAGCAGATGAATCGGGATATGGATGATTTTTTTCGAAAAAGTGTTCATATGCGTCAAGTCGCTCCTGGATTCGGACCTTCATGCCATTCGCCTTACTAACGTACTCATCTACTTCAATTTTGAAAGCCCTATTGCGTGCCTCTACTTCTTCACGACACATTTTTGAGGGCAGCGGGACCTCTGTGGCACTGTCGTAACGGTTGAACATGGTGTTGCTAGTGCTTTCGTCGCTCGCTTTATCATCTCGAACATACATAAGCATGTATATGTCGCGCGAGCAAATTATTTTTTTACCGTGACTGTACTCTTTTGTCGCCTCGGACTTGGCCATATCACTCACTATTGCATCGTCAAATTCAAACCACACAACTTCCGTGTCATCTCCACTGCAAGACATTTGAGATTTTGGTAATGCTATAGAAGCGGTATAGTGTCCCACATGTGCACTTTTTCCACGATGATTTAAGTAGCCCTGTAAGCGATAAACAACATCTTCGGATTCGTCAAACGCTTCTGCGTGACCACAACAACGCAGCAACTCTGTCATGTTCAGTGTCTCATTGATCTCAATTACATCCTGTGAACAAATTTTCGGAATGTGTAGGTAAGCTATTGTCACATGCAACTTTTTCGTTGTAAATTGTAGCACAATCGTACCGTCAACTTTTTCTTCCGTCCAGCATTCACATCGTAGACAAATCGCATGAGCTGTACCATTAAAGTTTGCGGTAGAGCTCGTGGTTTTAGTTCAAGAAAGCGCTCGGCACATTGTTTTGTATTACAATGTTCACAAAAGTACTTGTTCTCTCCATCCAGTACTTCAGCTGCTAGGTAAGATTTCATGCAGTCCTTTACACTCTTGTGTCCTTTAATATGGAGTGAAATTTCATAGTACAATGATGATCGCATCGATTTGTTTGTACATTTCAAACACTTGGTCACATAATTCATCTGTCCTTGAAACAGTCGGTCTACTAAATTCCAATGTCTTGAAAACTTGGACTGTCGAAAGATTGTACGTAAATGTGTCAATAATAACTTGCTAAATTCCTACAATTCGATCAAAGATAACAATAGAAAAATATAAAATTATCATCACAACTTGACAGACAGTTAACAACAATAGTCGACTCGTGTTTTGTCATATGTGTGTGTGTGTGTCATTTTACCTGTGCATCTTGTTGCATCACATTATTTAGTGCTAATGTTGACGCAAACTCCATGGGATTGTAATAACTTTCATGGCCAAATTGCATATAAGCAAATAATTGTTGTAAGGCTCGCATTTGTTGATGAATTTGTGGCTTTTTCTTGTCACAAATGGATACTTTTGGTTCCCATTCATAGACAGCTTGACGAAACGCTTGATTACGAAACAAACATTGTAACATACTATTTAAGTAACAGGTCGCACCAAGATTACGTAATCCACAGGGTATAGGGTTCGAAGCAATCACACGACGTTGACGATCTCGAGGATCGGGACCAAGGATGCGCCGGATAAATGTATCACCCTGCCATATACCTTTCTGATACTCACCTAATCCGTATAAACAATTGGGATTCTTGATACAATTACGTACTATAGAGGTATTAGTAGTGCGTTGTGTATTACGACGATGATGATTAGGAAAGTGACAGGGTGGTGAAAGATGGAGTAAATATGGATCAGTTAGTCGTGAATTAGGTCGAGTATCAGGATTACAGGACTCCCGTTTACGCTTTATACGGACCATTTTATTCGGAATGATTGTGTAAGGTAGTTTGTTTCGCATAAGTACGAATAAAGTAGTGGTGATATTTATTATTACAGGTATAATATTACAACTATTAAGTAGTACTTGTTGTCACTACTTAATAATAGTAAGAAATTTACTAAAAGATTGTTTTGGTAGACTGAAAAAGAACTGTAAAAATTCACATTACGTCATGTGTTCATTCCGCTTAGTCCATCCAAGCACAATTAGTGTCATCAACATATTCAAGCTACTCGTGAATCAATTGAAGGTATGGAGAGAAAATCTAGACGAAATAACATGGAGACGAGAAAAGTCGCTTATCCAGGCGAGATCTGCAAGAAAACTGGTTCTTTACCTTTGTAATACTTCATGACCATTTGTGCTTCGTTCTTGTTTGAATCCAAGTGTCAGCTGATTGATTTTCCCAGACGACATGCAATGAACAAAATGCCTACAACTTTTGTGCAATCACTCCGTCGGCTTTAAAAAAAACTGAACAAACAACAATCCAAAACAATAGCCATCAATGAACACCACTTCAAGTCGTCATGAAACAAACAAACAATTTTACTTACCGCATCATCAGCGTAAGCAAACTCCAGACAGTGCATGGCACCAGAAAAGAGTCGGTCTCGCATGACAGCATTCTCTTTCAGACCAAACATGATAATACGGGCTTGAACCATGTAATCATCATTGCTTTCCTTGAAACGCTCAAACAATGCTGCCTACAAAACCAGGACGTGTTAGATTACGGTCGCTGTAGCAAATACAATAACTTTTCACTGTACCTCAATCTCCTTTGCCACCTCTGCACCCTTTGACCCGTCATGGTCAAGGATTTTACGCAGCATATCCACGACAAACGTTCGGTTCTTGTCCATACACTCCGATGCTTCATTTACACTTTCACTGTCTTTTACTGCACCATCAACAGGTGTTTCTTTCAAAGAAACGGATCGCTTATCTGAACTTGTTTTGGCAGTCGCAACCACATTCTCAGCTTTCGCCAACAATTCGTCTGAGGGCTCAATTTTTGCTGCCATATCTTCGACCCGCTTGCTACTGTCCTTCTTCTGTTTTGTCTTCGCTACGTTATCCTGTGGTGACGATTCCTCTGCGGCAGGCAGTGAACCAGAGCTGGCCAAATTCCCTTTGGCGTCCGAGTTTGTTGTCGCTACAGACGACGACTCACTCATAGATTGTTGCTGCTGTTCTGACTTCACGGAGCTGCCATTTTCAGTTTTCCGCCTTTTTGTGCCTTGATCAGACGCACCTTCATGAGGTTTCTTGCCCAAATGGGTTTTAATATCTGTGTCGTCGTCCAGGATATCGATCATATGCTTTCGAAGTGCGCTCGCCGTCTGGCCCACTGTAGGGCTTAAGCTTTTGCGTAAGATCGCGATAATGGCAGCCAAACCCGACCGCTCTACGTCTGAACGATACATGAGCCTTTCCATAAACAGCTCTTGCATCATACGAACTAGCTCATCATTATTCCGAGCTGACTCTTTTGCATGCAGCCGTGTCATTTTGCTCGCAAATGAGGCTAGATCACCCACCTTGTACTCTCCCTTGTCTTTCTTTGTCTTACTTTTTGGACCACTCAGTTTCTTTTTAGCAGCTTCCTCAGTCATCTCGCGAATGTCAGCTGACTTCATAGTCTTGTGTGGAACTACAAGCTCAATTTCCTTCTTTCGCTTACTGTCGATCTCAGTGGACCCGTTCAGCTTTCCGTGTTTAGCAATAACCTTGGGAGCCTTCTTGACAGGCATACCCGCAGCATTAACGCTGTCATCCGTCCCTTTTTTCTTGGGCGTTTTGCGGCTTGCCACCTTTGCCTTGATTTCTTCTTTGCTGAGCGTTGGCCCTGTCACGTCCGCTTCCTCTTCTTGAGCAATACGAGCTTCCTTGCCACTATTTCTATTCGACATTTCCTCCACCTCATCGCCTTTACTTTGTCGCTTTTTCGGCGCAGCCTTCAAACCAGCGTAAACAGCCGTCTTATTTTTTGGCGGTCGGCCAGGCTTTCGTCTAGCAGGTGCCGCCATCTCGACTGACTCCTTAACATTCTCAAGAGGTCGTAAGAGACCGTTTGCTCGCTCTTCAATCGGCAACTTTGTCTCTTTCTGCTCATACACATAACACATGAGTCTTTTGACGAAACCAAGACTTCTACTTTCATACGTATTAACTCACATCAGCTGCTTCAATTGCCTGCATGAGTTTAACTCGTCGTTTTGGAGCCTTTGAGTCTTTCTCCGGATGTCCTTCACGATACATAAACTTTGTATCATCCCATGATTCAATCATCTTAAATGAGACAGAGGCGCTGTTCAAACGTATCACACAACAACAGCAACAACAACGACCATATATCAGTCACCCCAAACTCTTCCCTTATATCACTTGACTAGACACTGTTACGTACAAGTTGTTAGATACATAGAAGAAAACAACGTATTTAGTCTCTAGCACTTTCATAGCAGTCTCCTGTAGTTTTTCAGGTAATAGTCTTGGGTCCGTAATAATACACGGCCAGTACGGATAGCCACCCATTTTAGCCCATACAATCTCACCAAATCTCTTTGTAATCTCGTTATTCAATGCATTCACCTTCTTCTCGACTTCCTGTTGCTTTACATCGTCTTCAGACTCTACTACGGTCTTTTTTCTGCGACCAGGAGATTTTACCGTCTTTTTCATCGTCTTTGCCCGTTTTTTTGGCTGCTTCTCGGGCTCCGACTCTGTATCTTCACCTTCTACTGCATTTTTATCCAATTCCTTGGATTTCTTAGGCATACAAGGGCTTGAAGTACGGCGTTTTGAGTGGGGAATCACAATCTTCTCGTCACTGGCCTTGCGCTTGATTATGGGCTTTCGAACTGCTATCTCGTCTGCTACAGTGTTCACTTTAATCACCTTTTCTTCCTTTGGTTCTGTCTTTTGCGTGCTCTTGTTCACTGTGGGCGTCGTAGAAGCCGCGTCTGTAGTGATTGGGTCCATCTCGCTCATAGCTCTCGCTCGCTCTCTCTCTTGGCTTGGAAGTTTTTCTTGTGGTTGGGTAGGTGAATAACTTGATATTTGTATACTCGATCTTCCTTATGTCGTGTGGTAGACATAGAGGTTTTCGATGAAAAACAACATGGATTTATGCGTTGTTTTAAGTAACTAATCGAAAGATAAAACAATATCAAGTTTAAATGAGTGAATTAATTATCCTATGAATGTATCCATCTGCCACTGCTATATCGGAAGCTATTGGTTGCATTAACCAGGTGCCATCGCATAACACCGTCGTCTATTCCATGCATCCAGTCTCGACCACTAGTAGTAACATCTTCATTCTGCATAATAAAACCACTACATAAACTGACTTCATCATTGAAAAGAACAAGGGCTTCGCAGCAGAAACAGCTCAAGACGCAGCCTCAAAGTAATGAGCTGACCAGTTCTTTAGGGGTTTAGTCCCATCCAGCAGCAGGAGCTGGAGCATCCCAGTTTGACGCAGCAGGTACAGCGCCAGCCTCACCCGACCATTCCGAGTTACCAGCTGAAGTCCACTCTGCATTAGCAGCAGTGGCAGCTACAGGCTCAGCAGCATACAGAGTAGGTTCTGCAGGTGTCTGTGGGGCATCACCCCAACCAGCATGGGTCTGAGCTTCCTCAGCAGCCGTAGCCTGGGCTTCCTCGGCCTTCTTAAGCTCCTCCGGATCACGGTACAGGAACAGGTCCACAACCACATCCCACGGCAAAGTACGCGAGATTGTACCACGAAGGCGCAAGACCTCACGAGCGAGCAACCAATAGAGCAAACCAATAGAGAGCTTGCCCTTGTTGTTGGCTGGAATTGCTACGTCCACAAACTGAAGAGGCGAGTCTGAGTCGCAAAAGGCAATTACTGGTACATTGACAAACGAAGATTCACGAACAGCCTGGGAATCAGTGCGTGGATCCGTGATAATTAGCAAACGTGGTTCGCGAAATTGCTTTGTGATCTGATTCGTAAACGTGCCAGGCGTAAAGCGGCTGGCAATAGCCTGACAACCAGTGTGTTGCGCAAACTTGAGTACAGCACGCTGACCATATGGACGAGCTGAGATGGCAATCACATCCTCTGGGTTTTCCACAGCCACAATCACACGAGCAGCAAGCATGAGCTTTTCCCATGTCTTCCCCACGTTAATAATATGGATTCCATCATTACGACGACGCCAAATGTAATCGGCCATTTTAGAATCAGCATTGCGTGTACCAATATGAACCTGAGCGGCTAGCATCATCTTAATATCTTCCTCTCGTTGTGTAGCCATGTTGCTAATGCAATTGATTGATTCTTTTCAAAGAGCGATGAATTATGCCATAGGACGGTGGTATATGTCAGTCAGTGGATGACCGACCACCAACCATGAAAAAAACCTTGGAAGGGATACAAAACCCCAATTATGATGTGGTATACAAAATATGACGGACGATGTGGTGTACACAACTGTAGCCATTATCAGATACCACCAAGTACGTCAGCACGATCTGGTGTCAACACTACTACGTCTTGCCTTTCCTTGGGTTAAGCAGTATATTATTATCAACAGTGTGATATATAGCATGGAACTAGTAGAGAAGAAGAAGAATGAACTCGTTAATTCTGATCTTGACATGAATGTGCAACCGCTTGTAGTCAATGCATTATTGCAACTAAAAGAGCTATGGCAGACGTTTGGGTTATCCGAGCAAGAGCAGTTGCAACAAAAGAGACTCATGCTTGAGATAGTGGAAAAAAGCTGTCAAGATAGAGTGAGTATGTGGCACAATGAAGTTGACCGCGCTACAATGCGAGTTACAGAGCTGGAGAAGGAGGTGCAGACTATCAAAGCGCAGTTCCAGGGCAACAATGTGAGGCTCAGAGGTCGAGATTGTACCACACGTCAATCAAATTGTAACTTACTCATTGTGGTTACATGTAGTCAGCAGGATGGTGCATGCAATCGCTGGACCAGCTCTCTGGTAGTGCACTTCGCGATAAAGTTGCACGACTTGAAATGGAATTCAAGTTTCTCGATAGTGTACGAACATCCCTTTCTTCACAGATAAGACACCTAAAAGACATAACATTTGCTGTTGACGAGCATGTGCAGATTCGCACTAGCAGATTGAACGAAGTCAATAAACTACAAGACCAATTAATGACGCTGGACAAGAAGCTGGGTTCCACATCTGTACTAGTGCGTATGAATGTCGAAATTGTCTGGTTGGAAAGGTTGTAACTTGATGTTGATGATTTAGCCTTCAGGTGTTTCTAAGCTGAGCGAAGAGTTTAAAGCAGCTTTGCAAGAATTGGTTGCAAATAAGTCACGCGAAATAGTAGGTGCATTGCATTGATATTATCATTGTCGTTCTTTCTTTCGTAACGGGGCTTCATTCGAATAGCACATACGGAGAGCTGCCCTGCTGGAGGCTGTTAGTGAATGTGTACAGCTCGCTCAAGAGCTTCAAATTGAACCAGATCACACTTTTGAAGCAGATGTTAACGCTCGCTTAAAGGTGCGAGTTGTTGTTAAGTTTGAGATTATGATTGTTGCTGATAAGTTCCAGTGGGGTTGTGATCTTGTGCTGTGCCTCGCAGAAGAGAGATTTATCAACCGAAATGCTTCAGAAGATTTCACTGAGAACTGTGGAGCTTCGAGAGGTGAAACTTAAACAGGAGGCACGTTTGGCGGAGATGTTAGGAAAAATCCACAATCTTTGGCGTCAACTAAAGGTAGCATTAACAACGTGAGAGGCAGGCGTTAAGTGATTTGTGCCATGTTTTAAAAAGAATGTTTGCTCTATGTGTCTATAGATATCGAAGGAAGAGCAGGAACGTTTTCAGATGACCATTCACGGAATTGGCAAAGCTGCACTCGCGTCGGTAGGACCATTTTTTTGTGCTATGTGAAGACTTCACAGCTAGCTGATAATTTGCTAATCTTTTATGTAGTGCGAGGCGGAGTTAAAAAGGTTACAACGTTACTGCAAGCGATATGCTGCAATTGCTGTCCAGGTTGAAAACCTGCGCAACGCCATTACAAAGCACTGGGATCTACTTGGTTACAACTCCGACCAACGTGCTCCTTTCAACGCTATGATGACAACACCGGACACAGAATTGTCCTTCAGGATCTTTCGTGCTCATGAGAAAGAATTTGAGCGACTTAAACGTCAAATGTCAGCCATGAAGTTCCTCACCCATGTACGTCTACCAGCTTGATGGACCATGTTTCGATACTGACCGTTATTGGACTACGCTGAGGTGTTATAGTATGTTTCGAAGCGCGAGGAAATTCTACAAGCTCGTGCACAGTACGAACTGCCTTTCTGTGTCAATGTTCACCTCTGAATCAGTGAATAACTGCTCGTTATCGATTTGACAGGCATGGCGTTCCTGACAAGCAAACGCGTTTGCACATTGAACAGGACTTGCCACGATACACTGCAATATTGCTAAATCGTATTGGAAAATGGGAGAAGGAGACTGGGTTAGTCTTTTGCTGGAAAGGTACGTTGCAGTACTGATATGATACTACAGTGTTGAAAATATATGAGCCTAATGTTTGCTGGAATGCTACAGGTGAGCCGTACCTGGAACAAATGCGCCTAGCTGACCACAAGTTTGAAAAACAGAGAAATAAAACCAAGCAAGTTCAGCCGCAACAAACATTAGCACAGCAGACGCAGCATGTTACTGTCGCCTCATCAAGTGGGTTTAACATCAACCAAAGGCGTCGGATTCAGGTGAGTCGAATGTTTTGTACTAACTACTTGTACACACAGACAATGTTGATATAATTTCATGTGTGATGAATGTTTACGATTAGCGAAACACTCGACACTCGATTGAAGAACGTGCACCCTCACGTTTTTCAACAACGGAGGAACAATTTCAACCTCGTCGTTCCGATTCACAAGTCCACGAACGTCCTCGATGGCGAAAGTTTTTCCGCAGTACATTTTCAAGACATGAGAACTCATAAGCAGTTTCATGTCGCATGATAAAGATTGCCACGGATTGGTAACAAGTTCACTTTGATCTACAATGTAGTAGGAAAAAAGTGAACAAACGTGAGGACCGTCACCTGTTTCGATTGAGAAATATGTCCATTTAGTCGCCGTTACTTTGTGTCACTTCTTGTTCGGACACATATTTTGTCAATCAATCAATGAATTTGAATATTTTCCAGATTATTTCGGTCTTTTTTGTGCTTTTATTGTCTCAAACGGTTCGGAAGGATGCCTAGAATTGTACTTTCTACAACGAATAGAAACGCATTTCTAAAATAACGTCATATTATTTTGGGACAAAAGTAAGCTCAAAATTAAAGCACACACGAACCACGATGAAGCTGCGAATATTGACGTTTAATCTCTTCTTTGACGAAAAAGCACGCTATATACGCATGAAAGCAATAGGTCGATTGGTGGAAAATACACGTCCTGCTGTAATTGGGTTTCAGGAGGTTACACGCGAAATGTTAGCGATGCTTAAAGCGCAGAATTGGGCAAGATATTACGATTGCAGTGCAGATATGGTACCACCTTTAGAGGCACCTTATTTTGTGGTCTTATTCAGTGCCTTACCTGTTCAAGATGTTCAAACTTACCCATTTGTCAATTCCAAAATGGGTCGTGAACTTGTGTATATGCAGATTGAACCTATATTAGGAAAAACCCTCATTATAGGCACCGCTCATCTTGAAAGTTTACCCCAATTTAGTACCATTCGAGTAGCCCAATTCAAGGAAAGTTTAACACTTTTACGGGACAGAGTGAAAAAAATGAGTCTAAAAACTGATCCCAAAAGACAAAATGGGACTAAAAGACCAAGAGATGAAGGGAAGATTTGTATGGGAGCAATATTTATGGGTGATACGAACTTATTACGTTCCGATATGAAACTACTGGATCCACATCTTGCAGTATTTGCTGATATAACTGTCGAAATGTCAAAAACTGGACGAGCCAAGTGTCGTATTTGTGGAAATTTGATTCAAAAAGGAGTGATACGTGTGGGTAAAATCATGAAGGAAAAGGTCAGTGGAGGAAACAAAATGCGAGAGATTCAAAGATGGCTACATGTGGATTGTTACTTGAGTGTGTCATTGACGACGGATGAAGAGAAAGTATTTGTGCAAAGAAAAAGGAAGCAATTAGATGGTAAAGAGCTGGATAAAGATGATGGAGAGGAGTTGGATATGGTTTGTACGAGCCTTTTTTGCCTGCAATTACTTGAATGTGAGTTGGAATTCAAGTGTTGTTGGTGTTTATGGTTATTGTTTATAATGTAGGCTACAGTTGGGCTACCGAATGGCTGGAAGGATCTTTGGCTGTCAGTACCTGGTAATACGGAGGAAAATGGCTACACGTTTGATGGTACACGCAATACTTTGGTCACAAGTCGATCCTTCCGCAGTCGACTCGATCGTATGTACTTTTACTTGGCACCAACTGACGAAACAGTGAGGTGTGTTTTCGACGAGATTGCAATTGTGGGTCAGCAGAAAATCACAGATGGGATTTGGCCGTCGGACCATTTTGGGCTACTTGGCACTTTTGATATCCGCGAAGAAGATGAAAAACGAGACGCTCATGATGCAAAAGCTGAAAGTAAGAAAGCGAAGAGAACGAAATCAAGCTCGCATGTTGGTTCGAGACATTCGCCGATATCAATCGAGTAAGCTCTGAATGACGATGATTGTGATGGCAATACGTGAACTACAGTGAGGAGGCGAGGTGGTTGCAGATTGATGTTAGCGAGCAATTCTACTCTTCTTTTGGCTGCAATTCTGGTTATGGCACAGTTCGTACGGATTTGTACTATACAAATGTTGCTGTTCAGCTGATAGAAGTCGACGAGTCTCTCCAATGCTATCATTTTGCCGAGCTAAGTTTGTGCAGATTGAAGCTCGACGGATATAAAGTCGACGAAAGGATTGAACTTGAGGTCTTAGCCCACGGTTATTTGAATTGTGATACCCAAACGAGAATTGAAATCATAAATCGATGACAGCTTGCAATTGAATTGACAAATGCAAGAATATGCAACAATCGATGTTCCTGACCTCTCGGTCAGTGCATTTCGTAAAGCCGAAGTCTTGAAAAGGGTCCGTCGAGGATTTATTGGCATGTTACGTCATGAAGAAGCAGCTTGTTGCATAATCGATCATTCCAGAGTGGCTTTGATATGTCAAAGTACACAGCGTTCAGGTACAGACAACTTCTGCAAATGCATGGGTTGTATTGCTCTACCTCAAACTAAGCTTTCTTTTGGTCAATGAAGCAAGACCAAAGCAAGACCTGGGTTTGAAGAACTATGTTAAACAGTTCTTGCTCTGTGGAAACTTACTAGTATCACACATATTGAAGCGTTTATCCAGTAAAGCAAAGCAGGATAATTCAGTGAGACAGGTTATTCTGACGCCCGTGTTTTTCTTACAAAATTGTCTTCGTTTACAACCGCTACAATCAGTTATTGAGTCATTCACGTGGATCATTTGGATACTTGTCCATTGATAGCTTGCTAGTTGCAAAGGATTGAGACTCTTGACGAGTGATGGTTCTATCAATATTGCATCAAAGTTTTACTCTTCTTGACGGCATTTCTTCGGACGATGGAAACTAAGTTACCATTATGAGGATCGTTGACAAGTAAGTATTGGTCTATTTGTACTGAAGTTGCTCACGTTGTTTCGTTAGTCATAAGCTATCTGTGTCACCCAGTATGGGCACTACTTTTGGGAAGCACCAATAGCGTCCATCACGCTCTCGTAGCCGTCACGACGTAACAGCGCAGCCAGCTCTTTCTTGACGCGTGGTACAGCTAGCGGACTTTCATAGATTAAGCACGAATACATTTGCACGAGCGAGGCTCCAGCACGGATCTTGTCGTACGCGTCCTGACCAGTACAGACACCTCCTACACCAACGAGCAGGATCTTTCCCTTGGTCAACTTGTACATATCGGCAAGGACCTTAGTGGATAGATCACGTACTGGCAGGCCGCTCAAGCCGCCCGTCTCAAGCTTTGCAGCGCTCTTAAGAGAATCTGGTCGACTCAAAGTTGTGTTAGACACCACAAGCCCGTCCAGCTCAAGATCAAGTGCCACATCAGCAATGTCTTTCTTGTCTTCGTCCGTGAGGTCTGGTGCAATCTTTACAAGAAGTGGAATGTTGCGTTTTTCAGTAGCTGCGACCTCGTCACGGGCCTTAATCACTCGCACCAGAAGATTCTTCAGCTGAATTTTGCCCTGAAGAGTACGCAGACCTGGAGTATTGGGGGATGACACGTTCACCACAAGATAGTCGGCGTATTTGCCTAGCGCCTGTACACCTTTCACGTAGTCAGCAGCTGCGTCTTCTGTCAGCTTGTTCTTGCCTAAATTGACTCCAAGAACTCCAGAACGATGGCCATTTCCAGGTGCTTGGCGTTTGGCACGTGATCCAACGTATCTCTCAAGACGCGCTTGGACATACTCCAATCCTTTGCTATTGAAGCCGTAGCGATTGATCACGCCAAGATCCTCGTTTAACCGGAACACTCGGGGCTTTGGGTTGCCTGGTTGCGGCTTTGGAGTAACACTGCCAATCTCAACACATCCAAAGCCCATATCCAGCATGCCGTTTATCGCTTCTCCGTCCTTGTCAAAGCCAGCAGCAATACCCAATGGATTGGTGAATTGAAGCCCCAGTGCCTTGATATGAAGCAGCTCCGGGTCGATCTCTGGATCCTTGGGCGTCAGGCCAAAGCGTGCGCAGTTTACTGCAATCTGGTGAGACGTTTCTGGGTCAAAGAGCCGCACAATGGGCATGAAAGGCTCGGCAAGCTGCCGGATAACCCATTCGTGCGGTACTACGCCATTGTAGGCAGCAACTACAGCAGCTACAACACCACCACTTACAGCCACATACGCAGCAGTCTGGAAACCTGAAGATGAAGAAGTGGCGGGCCTACAGGACGCAATTTGACGCGTGAGCACACGGCGCGTTGATGTTGTAGCTGCTCGCATATTTGTGGGATTGACTGGACAGGAGCTGCTCGTTTCGTTAGATTCTATTGTCATTTTTTGGCTGACGATGGGATAATTCTGTTTTTCGTCCTACTAGGACGGCGTAAGGACGACGTAAGGACAGAAAAAAGTAATAGTAAAATGAACTAAAGAGTAGGTAGATATGCATGGATGTCCTAATAATAATGAAAGCAAGTACTGTAAACGTCAGACGTCCATGTCTTATACGCATATGCTCAATCTATCACGTTCTCTGGTAAGGTTGTGCTAGGTTTTGCCTGTTGGCTCGTAGTGTTCTCCCCCTCTGATAACGGTGTAGTCTGTCCTCGAGGCTGACCGTCTGAACGAATTCTTCTTCTCTGACATACCTGACGACTGCACTCGACATGTTGACACTGTAGTGGACTTGCGTAAGATTCCAACCGTCGTTCGTTCGTGTAGCTACCACTGAGTTTGTTCGTTATGCAGATAGACATCGACACAACAAATTTTTGATTAATGCCGTGTGTTTCGTGAAGCTGCGGGGGTAAGGAAAGTTAAAGGCGTTCCCGTAGCATTTGTAACCCAATAGCTCCGACCGCGTCGACAGCAGCTCCACTTGCACCATGAAAGCCACCAAGCTCAAAACCTTCAGGCGCGACATCCTTGCCAATATATCTAGTGGGGATGCCACAATAAAGTATATGTTTCTTGTTGGTAGTAAACTTAATATAAACGATACGAATGCTTTTTTTCACCTTTCCATAATGGGCTTCAGGCTTCGTGATAACTTCGCCTGGCGAAAGGTCTAGTCTCCTCTCCTTACCACCGTGCCCGCCGCGGCGCATCGTACACTTCACCCCCGATGGTTTAGTAACTTCCAAGGCAATCGCGTCGACATCTCTGCCATAGTAAATAATGACCAAATCAACTCTTTGTCCAGTGGAAACTGTATCCATGTCCAAAAAAACATGGCACCATCACTTCTGCCATGACGAGGACCCATTATCTTGTGCAAACCAGAAGCACTTACGCTGGCTGCGAGTAATGCGACTGCTACTACGACCTGAATGAACAATTGTACCATCACATTCTTCTGTCTTGCCGTGGAACCGTCTAAATCAAATGATTTGTGCTGTAAAACGCAAAATGTGACGACAATGAACAACAAATTGTCAATCAGTTCGTGGAAGGACCCGATTTGCAGGGTCCTGCTTTTACACCTACTTCACCATCGCAAAGTTTTCTTTCTAGGTCCTGTTTATTATACTGCTGGGAGCTCCCATACCTGCCACATGATATAAGGTCGGGTGTGTTGGAACTTCATATGGAGAGCGTACACTTCACAACAGGATGAAGAGCCTTTTGAACCTGATCGTTTCGACAATAGTTGGAAGAAGCTGTGGCTAATTGTAGCTGAGATTCCAGAATGATACAATTGATCAAGCTAACAAACACGCGGAAGGACGTTCCAAACACATTTGGGAAAAGTCGATTTTAGGACGAGAGATGCTAATGCAAAGTGGACTTATTTTAAAAAGCACGGACCAATTATTTTCCTGGCTACGTCACAGAAAAAAACCGTGCTGCTAATAAGACCGTAATTCTTATCTAAAACGGAGTGTATGTTTTTATTGTCAGAAACACAAACAGTGTTGACATTTTTGCCTATCACAGTATCTTTACTACTCGTTTACCTTCAGGCAACCACCAACCACATGGCAAACAGATAATCAATAGTTCCTTTTTTATGCTCGTATTGTTCAGGCGACGTTCAATACGATGGATATGTTGTTACATACCGGTATTATACTTTATCGTAAACGATACCGGTATACCCACTCTCAACTCCCTGGAATTTATTACCTCATGGCACGTGCTAACCTCCTACTAAGCGCTGAGCTTGAACGTGCGTTTGCCAATGCACAAAGTGGCAAGTTACGTTATGTAAAGATTCTGATTCAAGAAGAATCATTTGTACTTAGTGCTACAGGACCTGCAACGTCAGAGCCTGACAATGACGTGACGCAATTGGTGACGTCTTGTTTGGAGGCAGAGGAGGCGGCATTTGTGCTGCTGTGTCCCGATACAAACGTCTCAGCATTACGTTGGGTATTACTGGCCTTTGTGCCTGAAACTGTAAGTGTCCGTGATCGAATGCTCTATTCATCGTCACGTGATTCGCTAAAAAAGCAACTGGGTCTAAATTACTTTTCAGGGGAATTCCATGCAACGGAATTGGTGGGTTTTTGTATTATGAAGTAACATATTACAAACGTATATTATGATTAATGAGAGGGTTTTGTTTTTTTCTAATGCTGTAGAGTGAAGTGACGTGGGAGAATTTTCTCGAGGCGAGGAAGAAGCAGGCAGCAGATGCTCCACTGTCTGAATCAGAGCGATTACTCAAGGAGGCGGCCATGTTGGAGCGTGATACAAACGTAAAGTCTAGTGCCATGGGGGTTGTACCTTTTGAAATTACGCAAAACGTTCGTGACAAGCTGAGATTGTTACAGGAGAATCAGTTTAATTGGATTGGGATGGTAAGAGGATTGAAAGCAGGATTTTGATTAGATACTGACAATGTTTTGTGTAATGTAAATAGAAACTGAGTGAAGATAATGAGAGTGTCGAGGTGGTCAAAAGTCTAGAGAATGTCGATCTTATTGATGTGTGCCTTCTTTACTTGATCACCGCTCTCCAAGTTTTGTGGCATATCGGTATCATGGTCCATTGACGAGTGCGCCAGCACTGAGTATGCGGCATTTTCTTTGGCTGTTGCTACATTTGTTGTATCCTTGACTCGTTTGTGTGATACTGTTCTAGTTTTTATGTACGTGTGTCCGGAAGATTCACCTGTGCGCTTGAAAATGATCTACTCCACGTGTAAGGCTACAGTTCTCTTTGCTGCTAAGGAAGAACTCAACATGACGTTTGATCATACGGTGAGTCAGTTTTGCCTTTGGCACAGTTTGATGATTGCACATACTGATGAGCTGTTTTGGTTTTAGATTGAGATCAACAACATTGCTAGCGCTGTCGACAATCTTCGGTCGGAGTTAGCGCCACTCCAGACCGAGGAAGAGCTTAAGCCGCGCGAGTTTGCACGTCCTGCGGCACCTGGAGGTCACGGACGCAGCCGAGGCAGAGGCCGAGGTCGTGGTCTTCCTAGCGTCCACTAAGTATTCTCCTACGCTACATCTACAACCGCCATGTCGACGCTACTTTTCAAGTCCACAGTAATAAAATCATGCACAAAGCGTATATGGCAAGTATATAACCTCATTCCATAGGCTCTAGCCTATCGCCCAAAAAGTGTTCCTAAACCTGCCATCAACTTGAGCAGCCAAGTTGCTTTATCTCCATCAAGCTTGTTTACTTCCTGCCTTTCTTCTTTCCCTTCTTCTTGCCGCTACCAGACGCCATAGTGACCGGTCCAGCACTTGTTGCTGCCTTAATCTTGGCCTCCTCAGCCTCCTTCTCAAGTCGCACCCTGCGAGACTGGAGCTTGGGAATCAGCTCGGCCATTTTAAGCATCAGTGTCTTGCGATTTGGAATCTCAGGGTTCTCTAACGACCCATCGTCACGCACGAGACGCACTCGAATGCGACCAGACACGAGCCAATCCCGTGGGTATTTTTTGCTCGATTCCAGTACATGAGGCAGCTTAAAATACGTGCAAACTTCCGACATTTCATCAGCAAGGGGGGGACTCACATGCCCCAAGTTTAGGAATGTGACGTCCTTGTTTGACCGTCTTTTTGCTGTCGAGATAATTTGGATAGAAAGTAAAGAATCTCGACGTAGGACTGCCCTCAGCCAATCCATAGACGTAAATAGCCTTAGATTGCATCTTCTCCATTGGTGGCATCATTCCAATCGTTCCAGGCATACCAGGTAAGCCATTCATAGGTGGTATTCCACCCATTCCCTGCATCATGTTCATCATTTGAGACATATCTGGCATTCCACCACCTCCACCTAACATTCCCATAAAATCCGCTGGATTAAATCCACCAGGTTGTCTCCTCACACGACTTGGCATTGGTGGCATTACAGGGATAGCATTTGAGTCATACCGCTCGCCTGCAATGCTCTCCTTTGTACGGCCCTTGCGCACCATTGCCACCTCTATTCGTTCGTTGTCTGACTGACTGTTAACGCGATGAGAGAGAGACACTTTGACTCGGACAATTATCACTTCATTTGATGTGTGGTACACACGATGAAGTAGCATATGTTCGAGTCGGACTAAAAATTAGTATACTAAATTATCGGTTCATATGTACTCAAATAAGGATGTTACAGTAATACCTTCTAGCAGAATATCTTGATTGATTCGTCGTATGGCCCATCATGAATCAACGTATTGCTTATAGATCAAGCGGAAGGTACGTATCTTTTATTGTTCATCAACAGAACTGGTTCTTGATCATTTCTTCGATATTGTTCTTGAACAAAGTCATTCAATGTACCACGTCTGTTCCAAGTTGTCAAATACAAGAACATAGACTCAGTCTGGGGCAGACTTTTTGCAAGTAGCACAAACTACGTACTTGAAACAAGTGCTTCGGCACAAGGGAAGACAGACAAAGTTCACTGGATGAAATCTCATTTGCAATAATCGAAAAGTGGCCGTAATCTCTTTTCAGCGGCAAACCAAAAGTGCAATATAGCGCTTCAAAAAACTTTGAGACTGACAAAAAACAGGTAGCAGTGACACCGTTCATCCAATGTTCGTCAACTTGCTGATAACCATATTCAAATCTTCATCTCGAGCAAATACATGACGCAGTATTCTTGACCCACCACCACGCATTCTTGACTCATTGTTTCCAGACAAACACACCCATGCCTTTCACTATTTCTAGAACCCGTGTTTCGTCTCATTAGTCGTATTCTTAAACCAAGAGTAGTAGTATCTTGCCTCCTGCAATGAATTCTTAGCTTACGCCACAAGCAATGGAGTCGTCCATACATTGCAAAAAATGCTTTACGGCTACATCGACCCAACGTTGTCGTCCTCACCGCGTAGATCACGGTTTCAGACGTTCAGATAATAGCATGATCTCAAAGCTGAGTCTAAATGCTCAATCCAATATCATAAGAATTAACTCTAAAGCTCCTGCCGTTCAAAAGCTGATCCCAACAATGAAACTTGCTAATAGCTTCGAATGATGTTGTTATCACGATTCTCGGCAGCTCAATCATCTCCTGCGAGCTGCAAATGTGGCAGTATACGTCAGTAATAGTCCGTGTATACGCACTATTTTGTGTCCGTGTTCATTATTCTATCTGGTACATATCGTTACTTTTGAATCCGCGTATTTTTGATGGGCTCAATCATGTTACTTGATGTACAAAAAAAATTCAGTCTCATGCAAAATACAAACGTTCTAAATTGCTTAATCTGTGGTTGATCAGATTACAATAAAACACAACATCATCATCGTCATCATCATCATCCATCCATCCACAGTCGACTCATGGATAATTACCATATTTTAGAACGTATTGGCGAAGGTTCTTTTGGTAAAGTCTATCGTGGACGACGTAAATATTCTGGACATATTGTTGCGCTTAAATTCGTGACAAAACAGGGTAAAAGTGCTCGCGAACTACACAATCTGCGTCAAGAAGTAGGTTCGATTGATTCTAAATACTCTCATGTCTTGCTATCCTCTTGTTTTCGTATCCCGGTCTTAACAAAATAATGGTTTTTGAAATTCTAATAGATTCAAATTCTGCAACAGCTGGAACATTGCAATATTATTGCCATCATGGATTTTTTTGAAACAGACCGCGAGTTTTGTATTGTGACAGAATATGCGCAAGGTGATTTATTTCAAATTTTAGAAGATGAACAGAAATTACCAGAATTAGTGATTCAAAAAATCACCATCCAACTACTTCAAGCTTTATCCGTCCTCCATGCAAATTGTATCATTCATCGCGACCTAAAACCTCCAAATATCCTCATTGGATCAAAGGAACAGATTAAAGTATGTGATTTTGGATTTGCACGTGCTATGCCAGATGATTCAAGTATCCTCAAGTCGATTAAAGGTACACCATTATATATGGCTCCAGAATTAGTCGAAGCAAAGACGTATAATTATACTGTGGATTTATGGTCATTAGGTGTGATTCTATATGAACTTGCAGTTGGAAGACCACCATTTGATACCGATAAGATTGTAGCGCTGATGCAAATGATTATTTGTGAAGATATCAAGTATCCAGCAACAATGTCAATGAATTTTCAAAGCTTTTTAAAAGGGTTACTGAAGAAAGACCCGAGTGAAAGATTAACGTGGCCGGAGATTTTTAAACATCCATTTGTGCAGGAAACACCGGACCAAGTGGAGACACGACTTCAACTGGAACGTCAAGTACGTGCTTTGCCACGTTTTTTTCAAGATAAGGAGAAATGTGAGAAGGAGGAGGAAGAAGTAGAAGAAGAGAAGGAGGAGGAGGAAGAAACGGTCAAGCCGATCATTGAACGTCTTCATTTGTGTGATGAATGGAATCGATGCGATCCAGAAATAGGAAAGCACTTGCCGACACCGGAGCTGTCGGAGCAAGATGATATCACGTTTGATCAAGTTTTATCGACGAATCAAAGTAGCAGTCATAGTCCTTTTGTATCACTTGAGACGAACAAGTCAGCAGCTCACTTTGAGACTTTTCTCGGTGTGTGGGATCGAAGCAGTAAAGAAATGGATGTGAAGAACGTGGACGCAGAGCTTATGGCTACACCATGGTTCACCAATGCTGTGAGTCTGCTACCTGCAATACCTTACCAGGAGCTTACAAACGATACGACGATCAAGATTGGATCACTTTTACATCTCTTGAATCGCTCTTTGGTGCTTGTGCTAAACAATATTGACAGTATAGTCGACTTCAGTGGTTTGCTTGAAATCAATAACAACCTGCATCGTTTTCTGACTCACCTAGTAGATGCCAGCGAGGAAATGATTGCCAACAAGGAGCAAGTAAGTGACGTCATCTATAAGAGTGTGCGATGCTGTATGACATGCACAACAATCGTCAATGAAGCTGACATTGTTGTGGAGGAAAAGCACTTCGACTATCGTGAGTTTTGCAATGCTGATGTTGCACTCGTATCACAGATGCTATATAAAACGAATACTGTTGTCGCTACCTCTCACTCAAAAGCACTCAAGTGGCTGGGATCAATGATTGATGGATCACAAAGTCTCGTAGTACTACTGGAAGTTATCCACGCGTCGGGAACAATCCAAATCTTGTGCGAGATTCTGCATGCATCCGGTATATCACGTGTTTCTGGGGGTAGCAGCATGTTGAATGACGGTCAGGAACTTGGTCTGTACGCACTTTTCGCACTAGCCGCTTTTGTTCAGCCTGATGCAAAGTGTTGGGGCCCTTTGCAGCTTTTTCCTGTAATGAGTTTGATCCGCGATGATTCTGTCCCAATGAAGAGCTCTGGTTTGCAAGATGTAAAACACCTGTACAAGCTTTGCGTTAAAATCCACACAGAAGTTGGCTCTCAGCTTCTTAACAGTGGTGGGATAAGTAATCTGATTTCTTTGCTCGGAGATGAAATTGCCGAGCGTGGCAGTTATGATGGTGACACAGACGTAGAAGAAGATGACGACGCCAATCAGTCTACAATTAGCTGCATTTTAAAGATCCTCGTGCATGCATGTCGAGCTTCTTCTTCTCTGTCCAAAAAGCTAACGATAACGAAAGTTGTCTTGCAGAATCGTGGCGACAGCGATATTCTAACGATTCTGCTATGGGGAACGACTTCAGCAGGCTTGCACAAGAATGAACAATACTTTGCAACGGAACTGTTGTCAGTCTTCCTGCGGCGTGGAATTCTTTCAAAACCACAGATTTGGCGCTGTGCGCAAACTTTGTTCCCACTACTTCTGAACGTGACTCATACTGCTTTATTGAGCGCGCTGAGCTCTTTTTTCGCTGAAGTGATTGAAATCTGCAATATTGACGAGTCCGTACTTGGCAGTGATGGCAATCCAGACGGATTAGATCCCCAGAGCATGGAGCTATGGAATCTTGTTGTTCATGGGGCTCTTACACAGCGCTGCTCCGATGCAATTTTCCATTTATTCAGCAACAGCGCAACAGGCGGGGAAGTCGAAAGTATAAGGAAGCCTCAGGTGCTCACTAACTACAACTTGCGATCACAGGGTCTGCTAGACTCAGGAATTGTTTTTCTACTGCGCGTTGCGTCCAAAGCTTTATCACAGGCGCCTTCTCGAAGTCAAAATGAAGAAGAAGGCGTTACAATGTCCGTCAAGATTACAATGTTTTTGGATGTTTTCATGCACGATCGCGTGTGGAAAGTTTTTGAAGATATGATGGCAAGTGGCGGAGGAGATCAGTTGTCACCTTGGGGGTTGTTTTGCTTTTTGAAACTATTGCGGATTGTACAAGAGATACAATGCGATGTGACGCAGATAAAAGTCGCCCATCTATTACAGCATTTAGTGAATGCACTTGAGCTTAAGCATATTGAACACCTTTTTTACTGGCCAGAGGTAGTTGGAGGTGGAAGTAATGCTGTAAAAGCGCTTGTACACGCTATTGTGAAGGTTCTTGGTATTCCATTTATGCGCAATGTGTCGGAGGAGCTGCTCGTAAATACTCAAGAAATTCTGTATAACTCGAAATGCGTCGAGAAACTTCTCGGCGTCCTTTGCTATGTTTTATCCACAAGAGAGCTTCAGTTGGAGACGTCTGTACTGGAATTACCAGTGAGTTTTTTGTCCCGTTTAGTAACGAGTTCGTCACATTTTGGCTTACAATTTGTGGAAGCTGATGGTATGTTGATCATCAAAGAATGCATCGCACTGTGCAGTAACTGCTCACCTTCACTTCTCATCGACTTATTGATGATTGTGAGTCAGCTTGCTCGTAGCTCGGAGACCTACTATACCTGTATTTTGACGGCAAATCTTCTCCCTCAAATCTACGAGCTGCTTCAGCACCCAGACGCGATGGTCAGGGCAAAAACGCTGAACTGTATTGGAAACTTATGTCGCCACTCGACACTTTTCTACCACCATCTTATCACACCTCTTGATGAACATTCAGCTACTGACACTGTTCTGGATGGAATGATTCGTGCGTTATCTGACTCGGAGAATTACGTTCGACGATTTGCATGTTCTGCTATTGGCAATGCAGCTTTCCATAGTAGTGAACTGTACAATGCACTGCGTCGTGCCATTCCTCTTCTAGTTCAAAATCTCCATGATGGGACGGAAAAAACACGGTCAAATGCTGCAGGAGCTCTCGGTAACTTTGTTCGCAACTCTGAGGAACTGTACAAAGACCTTTGCGCTAGTCAAGTACCTTGGAAGCTACTTGAGCTTGCCATGACGGAAATGAATACTGCTACACGTCGCATTGTCATTTTTTCTTTGGGTAACTTTTGTGCGTATCCCGAGTGTTTGAACATGCTCATTGATACCGAACCCAATTTTATTGATACTCTCCAGTGCTTGTACGATAAAGTCCTAGTCGACGAAGTGTCGAGACGAAACATTTGCTGTATTTTCTCAGCCATTGAGGCACTGGATCTCCTCGAAACGGAATAAACATTCATTGATCAAAAAGACGCTAGAAACGGTCAATTGAACACACATTTGAGTTAAAGGAGCTTCACCTTGTGTGATATCAAACAAGATTCCCATGGTCACGTCCCATCGAAGTAGCTCAAAGATGTAATTTTGATTGATTTGGCAAATCTTCCCATTCGACATCCTACGCGACTACAAAGATCAAAAGAAGTAGCATTCGATTCAAGTGCTTTTACATTAACAGCTCTCTACTATCTTGTCTTAGAAAGAGAGAGAGAGAGGGAAGAGAGAAGCTGCTTGCACGATATTGAGCCATAATATGTTGAGGTCTCGTAAAGATCAAACTAGGCGTGTGCTAATACTGGCTCAACTCTGTCATTTATTGACAACTCTCTCTCATCCGTCTAAACCAAGGGAATAGATGGAATCAGAGCCATAAATGACAGATTTAATCACTCATGCGTATGCTACAATCGCAAAAAGAGCCGATCATCCTCTCGTTTCACTGTTTCAATTAAACTTCATGCGAAGTAGATACTTAGCTCATAGTTTCGTCATATTTGAATGTCTCTATATATTATCTATCGGACTGTGATATATGCGACTGTACGACGATAAGTATGGAGAGTGTGTAACGATCGAAGGTTTCGTCTATTCCAAACAGCTGCCAAAGTGTGTGGCTTAGATAATACAACTTGAACTTGATCACAGACGGACAAAGATATTAAGGACCGAATGAATATACATACGGCTGGGAGGATATTTTGTAGTAATAAACGTGAGTTATGTATAGCATCATCTAATGGGAAGGGAACATTGAAGCCAGAGAGATGGTCCTTAGGACTTGTTACGTCGCGTACGCTCCCAGTTTCGTACTTACATACATTTATCAAGTATACCGTGTCCCTTCTGTTCTTTTTGTCTCTCTCACTCTCTACTTCTACTACTATTATAGACTCTTAAGTCAAGTCAAGGCCCTATTGTTTATATACAATCGTACCTTTTCATACTCAAGTAACACTCATTACTACTACAACTACATCTTCTATACCTCTTACTAGTCTTACTTCAAAGTCATACATCTCGTCATTTTCTCTTCTCCTTCATCTCTCAGAATTCTCAATGGCAGCTATTGATATTCATCGTAATACTGAGACTCCTACTACTGTCTCGATTGATCATGATCACAAATTAAAACCGTCGACCAAGTATGGAGCTATAATACAAACTACTAGTAGTAGTAAAGATACTATCAATCGTCACAGCAGTGAAGTAAATTTTAAAGCTTATTCAGTAGGAGATGAAGATGAATTAGATGACAGTCAACCTCCATCCTCTACCTCCTTTAAATACAACCACGATATGCAAGAAAGTAGCTTTGATCTAACAAGTATGCGTGACAATATCTTTCGAGACAGTTTAATGCCTGAGAATGGATACGGGGAACACAATAGTGGAGGACGTGCAACGGAAATGGGCAATGCATTAATGCGTCTGGATGAAAAGTATGGTCGTACGTACAACAGCAAGGCACGGTTATCGTTAGGTTCGATACCTAATGGTCTCACTCCATTGCTACAAGCAGCAAGAGCAGGTGATATCGTACTAGTAAATGCTCTTGTGATTCAAGCTGGTACCGATATTCTTCGACGTGATCCCACTTTTGGTCAAACGGCACTGCATTTTGCTATTCGAGGTGGTCACATGAATGTGGTACAGGCATTATTGATGCCACATTTACGAGGATCGATTATTAATGTTGCAGATAATCGACGTAATACGGCGTTGCACTTGGCTGCAGCGAAATCCCGTCGGATGACCAAGTTACTGCTGGAATGCGGTGCTGATGTCAATTTTGTCAATATGCGCAATCAAACGCCATTGGGTGTCCATATTTTGACGGTCATGAGAGATGATCCGACGATGACGGAGATTTTGCTGCAACATCGTACAAATGTCAATGCATCTGTGGACAAGTCAACGATATTGCATGTAGCATTAGATAAAGGGTTGATCCAAATTGCTATGAGACTTGTGCGTCATGGAGCAAGACTTGATCTGAAGGACGAGTCGGGGAAGACAGTTTTTGACAAGGTTGACAAGTTACAACTTACGACACTTATGGCCAAGGTCATGCATTCACCCGTATGGATTCCTGACAATGAACGGGTGGACTGCATGGAGTGTCACAAGAAATTTGGCTGCCTTGGATCACGCAGACACCACTGTCGCATGTGCGGTCGCGTGTTGTGCTCAGTTTGCTCAGCGCGTCACGTGCGAGCCAAGCTACTGCCATTTTCAGCACGTCGCCGTGGCAAAAAGAACCAAATTGAGAAGGGGTCAGTTAACACTCGAGTATGCAAAATGTGCTACGATGTGTGCACGAAAGGAGAAATACAGTTATCCAGTAGTGCGGGCTACGGGTCTCGAGCGTAAAATGCGTCAGCATAACCTGGCACGATCGTCTTCGTTGCGGTTTCTCATTTACGACTGACGGCTGCGGTCAGTGCTTTTATTAAAGAGTTAAGCATATGACCATCACCAAGAAAGTCTTCCGGATGAATGGAAGACACGGGCTTAGGTACACTTTTGTTCTCTCTCTCTTTTCATGCACGAAGTAGTGCATGGTTTTGCGTACGCGCATAGGATAAAACCATAATACAACAAAGATTTTCGGATTTGTACAATGGTAATAAAGTTTAGGTTGAAAGATAGACGACATTGTTCCAGAGCTAGCAAATTAGTCATTAGACAGTTTGTTGAAAATGAATACTATCAAAAGCCGCAACATCTACACTTGGAATTGAAAGGACTAAAGGCAAGAGATAATTTATACGACACTCGGAGTTATGAGATGATAGAGCAATTCCGTTAATCAACAACAACACAAGTGTTCAACACTAGCTATGTAAGCAACTTTTCAGACAAAACTCACAAAGTCGGTATATATTCTCTGTAGATAGATACACTTGCCATCCACGAGGTTGAGATGCCGTAATGCTTTGACAAGAAACATCTACACTTAATTACTTGTCGACGGTGGCCATGTGCAGCATCAAATCCACCAGACGGTTAGAATAGCCCCACTCGTTGTCGTACCACGCCACAAGCTTCACAAACTTGTCATTCAACGCAATGCACGCGTCCGCATCAAACGTGCTCGAGTGCTTGTCATGCACAAAATCGTTGGACACCACTTGGTCTTCTGTGTAACCAAGGATGCCAGCAAGCTCACCCTCCGACGCGGCCTTTACAGCAGCCTTGATCGCATCCATCGACGCGGCCTTCTCTAAGCGACACGTCAAATCCACCACAGATACATCCGGTGTCGGCACACGGAACGCCATACCCGTCAGCTTACCGTTTAGTGCTGGCAGCACTTTGCCGACCGCCATGGCTGCGCCTGTTGATGATGGAATAATGTTCTGGCCACAGCCACGTCCGCCTCGCCAGTCTTTGCCACCCTTTGCAGGGCCGTCCACAGGCAATTGCGTCGATGTTGTCGAATGCACTGTTGTCATCAGACCCTCCACAATGCCAAAGTTGTCATTAATCACTTTAGCCAGTGGTGCCAGGCAGTTCGTCGTGCATGACGCGTTTGACACAACATGTGCCGAACCGTCGTAGTCCTTGTGGTTCACACCCATAACGTACATAGGAGTGCCGTCCTTAGGCGGTGCAGAGATTACCACCTTCTTGCATCCTCCATCAATATGGGACTGAGCCTTCTCCGTCGTTGTAAACACACCCGTTGACTCGCACACGTACGTGGCACCAGCTTTGCCCCATGGAATTTCCGACGGATTGCGTGCATTGAAAACGTGAATGACCTCACCATTGACGACAAGGTTGCCGTCCTCCACGTCCACTGTGCCGTCAAATTTGCCGTGGGTTGAGTCGTACTTGAATAGATACGCCATGTAATTTAGGTCCATGAACGGATCATTAATGGCCACTACCTTCGTCTTGGGATTTTCGATGGCAGCGCGGGCCACAAGGCGACCAATGCGGCCAAAACCGTTGATACCGATATTTACTTGCTCAGTCATGGTTTGTCGTGGTTAGTGTGCAAAAGGAAGAATGAACACAATTGGTTTATTTAATAGAGGTGATGACATTTATTGAGTAGGATACTTGGTCATAGTATTGATATGAACCTTTGTATGTGACACTGCGTAAAATCATAGATCTTTATTGGACCAATAGAATCATGCCGTAAAATGTAAATAGTACCGGTAAAATGTAAAAGATTGCACCCGGTCAAAACGTTCTTTCGCAGTGTTTCTGGCGTGTGGGTCTCACAGATGTTAAGCTCATTTTTTGGGCACTTGCTGTTTCGTTACGGTTTTGGATGTTAACCTAGACAATACAAAAGTACGTATCATTCGCATAGAACGTAACTAACAACGCATTAGGTTCATTTCAAGCAATCTTGAAAATGTGCAGAGTATCTAGATGCAACAAAAAAATGCTGAGGTTCCGTAACATTGCGCGTTCTATGAAAGTGCATCGAGAGTGTGCCGACGGCATGATAACCTGCACAATTGTTGTGATGCTATCAACCAGTGGTGAATTGTACAGCACATTTTATCGTCTATTGTGCAATAATGACTCACACTGATTGCATCAGCCGTGTGCACTGCGCATACATGAACTTGAGAGAGCAACACACTGAGGAGCTTTTGGCGGAAGAGATGCCGGAATGTCAAGAGCCGTAAATCGCAAAAGTAGTTGTCAGCTTTGTTAGTGACGCATGGTGTCACGGAAGAGCTACGTTGCACTTATTATGGGGATACTGGATTTGCCATTGGCAAGATCATCTATAATTGCTAACTTAATTGGATTACTCTAGTTTTTATGGACGCAAATATGGGAGTCTAAGCACAAAAGCTGGCTTCATAAAGCATCATTCTTATCGTAATGTAGTGGATTTATCATTCGACATACACGAGGCTGAATGTAATAAGAAAACGCCGTCGTGACAACAAGTACCGGATTAATCAAAGTACTCGTGCTTCCTAGTCGTTTCAAAATACGTTGAAGGATTATGACACAAAATTGACAGGACCCTAGGTGCCTTGACTCAACCTCCTCTGCATTCAGTGAGAAAGTATCTAACTACCTCTATGTTTTACGCTATTAGACATGGTGTTGCATGTTTGCTTATCGCCTTTCAGTAAAATACACTCTCGACAACAAATTTGTGTTGAGCTAAAGGCGATTCATTCGATAGCTCCAAGACCTTTGGATTTGGTCCACAAAACAAAAAAACGCTTTAGTCTGTGTAACACACTAACTAGCGTACTTAAGGGACACTTCATTGCTCAACATGTCGCAATCAGATCAATGACAAAGCCTTTAGCTTAGGAATGATGGTCCTTTTTCACGGCCAAGAGAATTCTACGATATAGTGCCACCATTAAGGTTTTTTGGATTATTGAGGTTTATCAGCTTCAACATCACTTTTTGGAATTAACTCAACATACTGCCCATAATCCAATTCAAAGTCTTTTGGACACAGCACGATTGTATTACAACCAACCGTCTTTCTATCTCTCACGATGTCACAAGTTTCTATCGGTATCAACGGTTTTGGCCGCATTGGTCGCCTTGTGGCCCGCGCTGCCATCGAAAATCCCAAGACGAAGGTAGTGGCCATTAATGATCCGTTCATGGACCTAAATTACATGGCGTATCTATTCAAGTACGACTCAACCCACGGCAAATTTGACGGCACAGTGGACGTGGAGGACGGCAACCTTGTCGTCAATGGTGAGGTCATTCACGTTTTCAATGCACGCAATCCGTCGGAAATTCCATGGGGCAAAGCTGGTGCCACGTACGTGTGCGAGTCAACGGGTGTGTTTACAACGACGGAGAAGGCTCAGTCCCATATTGATGGAGGATGCAAGAAGGTGGTAATCTCTGCACCGCCTAAGGACGGCACTCCTATGTACGTTATGGGTGTGAACCACAAGGACTACGACGGTTCGGCACATGTTGTGTCAAACGCGTCATGCACGACGAACTGCCTGGCACCACTGGCTAAAGTGATTAATGACAACTTTGGCATTGTGGAGGGTCTGATGACAACAGTGCATTCGACAACATCGACGCAATTGCCTGTGGACGGCCCTGCAAAGGGTGGCAAAGACTGGCGAGGCGGACGTGGCTGTGGCCAGAACATTATTCCATCATCAACAGGCGCAGCCATGGCGGTCGGCAAAGTGCTGCCAGCACTAAACGGTAAGCTGACGGGTATGGCGTTCCGTGTGCCGACACCGGATGTATCTGTGGTGGACTTGACGTGTCGCTTAGAGAAGGCCGCGTCGATGGATGCGATCAAGGCTGCTGTAAAGGCCGCGTCGGAGGGTGAGCTTGCTGGCATCCTTGGTTACACAGAAGACCAAGTGGTGTCCAACGATTTTGTGCATGACAAGCACTCGAGCACGTTTGATGCGGACGCGTGCATTGCGTTGAATGACAAGTTTGTGAAGCTTGTGGCGTGGTACGACAACGAGTGGGGCTATTCTAACCGTCTGGTGGATTTGATGCTGCACATGGCCACCGTCGACAAGTAAGGCATGGCAATTGTGCCTGTGAAGGCATGTCAAGTGTATTGCTGAAATGATTCGCAACCTTGCGATGAAGCAATCCGGCTATTGCACTCATGACTGTCGCTGGCTTTACCATACGTAAAATTGCTGCAATGTAGCTCCCACCTGTCGCGCTGACGTTTAGTTTTCTGGATATATTAAGTAACTCAAGGCGTCTTGGACAGAAAGAGTGTCAAAAGAGTGATTAAGTAACATAAAGCTGCTGTCTTATGAGCTAAAGTCGAATCACGCTACTATTAAACTCTTGTATTACATTTGTACCCATTCACTCATACCTGGCGCCAGCGACTTATCGAGAGTCATGAGCGTGGCGGGAAATGGTCCAATCAGCGCGCACTTCAACTCTCACTCTTAATTCCGCACGATGAAGCGCAAGCCTCGTTCCAGTGCCGCACCTCCGCATTCGTCTCGTCGCCGTCGTAGCGTCTCTCCTTCTCGCGAAGACAGTGATATGAGAAACGAGGAAACAAGATTGTCTGTTCCGGCCCAGAATGCCGCAGATGGTCGTGGTAGAGCGGCCATCTCGAGACAACGCGCTCTCTATTTCGCTACGGGGGAAAATGCCAGTTCAGGTGTCACACAAGACGAGGGGGAGAACGAGTCATGGCCTGGATATTTTGCAACAGCGCAGCAGCTTAATGACAATCGTCAGGCGGCACAAGTAGCACGAAAGCAACGACAACAGGCTGGACAAGTTGATGATGAGACGTTAAAGGTTGTGTGGACTCCCAAACGCCCCCCGCGCTCGTCCGTTTTAACTGCCGACCACGTAATACAAAAATTACGAGATCTTGCGCTCCAGTGTTTGGCGGAAAATGTTGAGCAGCTGCCAACCCTCGAGTATATTGACGCTGCTGCACGACATCAGGTGGCTCGAGCCGTAGTTTATGTCCGTAGACTTCAGCCGAGGGTGCTGCCGCTGTTTATCTTTCCTGGTGTCACGGAAATTGATATCCCAGACTGCTCTAATATTGACGAGGAGACGTTGCTTCGTACGTTTACGCAGTGCGCGTCCCACGGACTGGCTCTTACAGTATTGAGACTGGGACTTTGTGGACGTTGTGTCTCGGACAGTGTCATTGAAGAACTTGGTGACGCGTTACGAACGGTGGAACAGCTGCAGATGCAGGGTTGTTATCGTCTTTCCGATGCTGGATGTAAAATGCTGGTACGACGCTGTGCTCCGTCGCTTGATTCGCTCGAGATCTCATGTAATCAGCGAATTACCAAAATGTCGATTGATTACTTTAGCGAGCTAGAAAATTTGCAGTCGTTGGTATTGTCTGAGTGTCCACAGATTGATAATGCGAGTTTAGAGTCGCTGAAGAGTATGAAGAAGCTAAGGAAATTGAAGCTGAATCAGATGGAACGACTGTCAGATGAGTTTATCGTTTCATTGGCACAAAGCTTGCCAGGCCTGGAAGAATTCTCGATTGCGCGATGTTCACAACTGACCAATACCGCTGTAAAGGGGATGCTAAAGTCTTGTCGCGAGTTGAAGGTGCTTGATGTGTCAGACTTGCACCAAATTACTGATGAGTGCTTTGAACCCGTTCGAGAATACGGTCACGCTCTCCGCCACGTGTCACTGCGCTGCTGCTTGAAACTGACCGACGTCGCATTTCAGCATATTGTTTGTGGCGCCAAAGCATATCTAGAAACGCTTGAAATGTCAAGTGTACCGGTAAGCTAGTCAGTGCAGGCTGTGCTATTTTGAGTTTGCTCTGATTAAAAGTTGGTACTTTTGTGTGACGTCTAGCAAGCTACAGACGCATCTATGATGGCTTTGCTGGAGCACTGTGCAACCAGTCTGGCGACGCTTGATATTTCATTCTGCAGGAATATTACCGAGGATGCGCTTGGTATTTTAGCCGATGGAACTGAGACTCTTCGCTCTCTGGTACTTTGGGGTTGCACACAGGTTTGTTGAGTAAAATCTTGCATATTTGATTATTATGACATATATCTGACAAGATGCAATACTTTTTGCGGTGTGTAACTTAAAGGTTACGACCCGCTTCCTTACGCGTCATTCTCAAGACGAGTTGATTGTTACCGGTCATCCTTTGCTGACAGGGCTTTCAGTTCGATACTAGTATTCCTGCTAAGGCGAGCAATATATGAAAATGTGATCAAGGTGATTTAATCGTTACAATAGTATTGGCTTTTTTCCACATTTGCCAATGTCTGAAACAGACATGGTGGCTGGCAATTGCTTTTGAGTGATGAGACGTCGGACATGCCGGTTCCCAGATTTCATTGTTGCGATTTTCAAGGGACAGGACTCTAGCACCTTGCATGTCAAGGCTGCAAGGTCTCAGATTCACATCTGGTCATGTTCTCACAACAGTTGAAAACTAGAAGATTTTCTACATCCACAAAACAATTTGCACTCTGAAGGCTAATTGGAAGGTCACGATGGAGCTGCGCTATTCTCCATACCAGCGTAAGAAAAGCTCCAGAAAGTGAGTGATGTCCATCAGTTTGCATGAGCTAAAACTCTTATTTAACTAATTGCTGTCTTGCAGAGCAAAAGTAGCTATTGAAATGGACGCACGGTTCCACCATGAAGTGCTTAATTGGACTTCAGAAGAAGTATTAGCAATCTGATGAAGGTTTTACATGTCAATCAATGATTTGTAAACTGATTGTTAAATTGGTGGTATGAAGGATTCCTTGCTGCGTGATGGCGTTTGTCAGTTTGGGGGCAAAAACTGGAAAGCGATCTCGGCCCGCATCGAGCATCGATCGTCAGAGGAGTGCAGCAAGCGATGGGCGGCCCTTCAGGGTCTTGACACTGTTGTCAAGCGACCTTGGAGTGAAGAAGAAGACATGAAAATGCTTCACCTCGTGGAAAAGTACGGGGCAAGCAAGTGGTCTGTAATCGCTTCTTACCTGAAAGACCGCAATGGAAAACAATGTCGCGAAAGGTGATTATTTAATGCAGCTAGATTGAGCACCGATTGACTGGCTAATGGTTTGTTATTGCAACAACGGTTGTTATTGCGGTGCATGATAGATGGCACAATCAGTTGAATCCGGCCATAAAAAAAACACCTTGGACCGAAGAAGAGGATGCGATCATCCTGCGATTACAGGCTCAACTCGGCAACTGCTGGGCGAAGATTACTGCTGCGCTGCCAGGCAGGACGGATAATAGTGTGAAGAACCATTGGCACTCATCATTAAGAACGTTAGGAGAGTGTGGAGGTGACTCATCTTCCCAAGGACATTTAGCAAACACGAAGCGCTCCAAGTCAAAAAAAAAAGCCGCGCAAGGTGAAGTCAGTGAAGCAGGAGAAGGAACCGCTTTTGCAAAGTGGTGGCTTATCTGCTTGTGGTACTGCGGTGCGAATTGCAGCTCCAGACGATGTCACTGCGAGTGCAGCTCATGTTATTCTACCCAGTGATTTGTCTATAATCCCGTCTACTGATTCTGCAGCAAGTCCGGTGCCGGGTGGTGCTGTTTCAGCTGTTCCTGATGACGGTCTTCTCTCGCCTGAATCTGTGTCAGATGTGGAGAACTTTGATTTGTACATGTTCTCTTGTGCTCAGACATATCAGGAAGATGTTTTGAAAGCAAAAGCTGTGATTGACAACATTTTGGATCCGATGGGCCTCGGTGGTTGTACCGTAAACAAGTCGTCTACGCAGTGTGGTTCGGATCGACGCGATAACGAGACTACTTTCAGCAACTCTTTCCAGCGTTCGATGGCAACGTGGCACGCAAGTGACTACAAATTCTGTCGCTCTGCAAGTATTGACTCGATGTCAGATCCTACGTCGCCAGCACAACCTCCGTTTGGTTTAGATGAGCTGCTTTTCGACTCGCTGCATGATATGTGTGGTGGTGAATTGCAGTCGCCTGCCGCTTTGGTTCAAAATACGCCTCCAAGTGAAGTTTCTGTTTCGTGTCAGCGGCCATTGGTCGCAACGGAGTGGGAGCCGTGTGTTGCATCTTCTTCTCTGTCTGTATCCACTGCAAACGCGACGTATTTGACATGCAACCTGACTGATCAGGTCGATGACACGTTATTTTTGACAAAGGATGAGCTAACAGTTAATGCCGATGACACGTTGTTTCTGCCTAAAGAAGCAGAGCTAGCGAGTGCCGTGACGTGTACAATACCACATGTCGAGTACAACATTGCGCTGGATACCCCAACATTCTCGTCTCTGCTCGATGTGGAAATATAATTATATTTTTGAAAATGTTTGTATCGTCTCGTGTCTAGATCGAGTATTATCGCGTGATAAGTGACCTTTCAACTGTATGCTTCCAACTCAACAATGTGTTATTTGGTTCTTTTAGTCTGTTATGATCATGTGGAAGACTAATGCAACAGTTTTAGCATTTTGGACACAGTCAATTGGGTGCTACTTATTACGTAAGACTTGGACAGTAGTAATACCATTTCCTATTCTATCATAGCTCTAAGACTGTATACACCTCTATAAATCTATATTAATAGTAGTGTTTACGATTCCAACACTCTGAGATCAGCGGCCCTTTTTGCCCTTCTAAACTAATGTTTATTAGTTTTAAAAACATTGACATGGTACGGCAATTGTTACAAAGTGACACGCAAAGCGAAGAAAAAAAAGGTGAGAAAAGACAGTGACAGCAAGTGTCGCACATTTCAGCCGCCAATAAGATTCCAACTACACATGTTTTGAATCTAACTCATCTCTAGTTGTACCCATTGTATGACTTATGAAGCCTGGGAAGGCCAAGAAACGCTGGCGTTGGGAGAAACTCACAATATTATGTCTTAGGATTATCAAAGCGCTGGCATTTTGTTTCGACCAGGGCGATCGATATACGAAATAAGAATTGATATTTTAGAGAAAAAATCTGCTTCATTTTGTGCGTATTTAAGACAAAAGGGCCAGCGGATTCGTTTCAATGGGAGCAAGCGGATTAAAAAGTCGTTGCACAGAGGATAACTTTGGCTCTGATCGATGGCTGAAGATGCTGAAGAAAGGTTTCATTACCGCATAAAAAGTCAGCAGAACTTGAAGAAAGTTGTCATCTTCTACTGCTAATTTTTACAGCTGAACTGCAATAGCAGATTACACATTGATCTTTGCCTTCGAATATTATAACTGTCTGGACAAGTAAAGTTTGTTTTAGCGCCAGACGATGCGAAGAAGAGCAGACTATAAAAAAGAACAGATTCAGTGTGCAACCATAGAAATAGCAATAGAACAAGCTACCTCAAAGGCTGTAACCAGTTCTTTGGTCTTTGTTATAAAGAAAAGAGAGGGATGGCCACTAACTGGGATAGGTCCTATTATAAACAAAGCAAAGAATACAGCAGTGAATACAGAAATTAATAGAGCGACGCCGCTAAAATCGTCGGTGCCAAAGAAATGTTAATTCAAAATGTTGTACTCGTTCTTTTGCTTAACTCTGACCGCTACGACACTAACTTACATAAAGTATATTTATTGTACAATAAGCTGGCAGATTAAAGCGAAGCAGTCGTCATTTATTGCCTACAACCGCAATGTGTTTAAACAGCCTCCTCTTAGGACTAAGATTTTTATCCGTTAAGAGTTATAGGACTAATTCTGCATGTGGCTATTTACACCGCCATAATAATCGCTGTACTTTAAGTCAACAAGACATCGAACTCGGAATCAAACACACCAACACTCAGATTACAACATGCAAACAAATCCACGATCATATCGAAAAGGATGCCTACGTGTGGTGAGTGTTTGGCATACGACACTAGCTGTATTGAATTTGGGATATTAAATAAATTCCTTACTAAAGTGAAATATCGTTTGAATAAAATAGTAAAACCCTTATATGGTTGTAGATTAAAAAACAGAAAAGGGTTGCCATGCTGGGATCGTTCGGAACTGATGGCAGTCGCTTAACCTCCTTACGTGGTAACGCATGGATGATACGGTTGGCTGGTACTGATAAGGTTGACATCGTGCAAGCAAGCAGGGTTGCGGTCCTGGCGTGGAGGGACAAGGTTAGGTCTAAAACAGTCGCTCATTGATACTGCAGTGTCCGTCGTATGATCTCAGGTACTGCGTCGTGCCATTCCTCTTCTAGTTCAAAATCTCCATGATGAGACGGAAAAAAACACGGTCAAATGCTGCAGGAGCTCTCGGTAACTTTGTTCGCAACTCTGAGGAACTGTACAAAGACCTTTGCGCTAGTCAAGTACGTTGGAAGCTATTTGATCTTGCCATGACGGAAATGATTACTGCTACACGTCGCATTGTCCTTTTTTCTTTGGGTAACTTTTGTGCGTATCTCGAGTGTTTGAACATGCTCATTGAAACCAAACCCAATTTTATTGATACTCTCCAGTGCTTGTACGATAACGTCCTTGTCGACGAAGTGCCGAGACGAAACATTTGCCGTATTTTCTCAGCCATTGAGGCACTGGATCTCCTCGAAACGGAATATACATTCACTGCCATTCTTCTAAAACCAACCTTCTGAATCAAGACCAATCATATTTTCGCAGATGACGACAAAGCACGACAACAGCAGACCCACGACGACAGGCTCATCACAAGATTTGCCACAGTTCTTATTAGCTGACGGCGTGCCCGCGGTGTCGTCATCCTTCGAAACAGAAAATTGCTAAGATTAGTATGTTATCATGCGCTGAGGCGTTTCAACTCGTCCCACGTCAGAATCAGCGATTGCAAGGTGCTAAAGAAGGGTCCAGTGATAAAATGAGGAGCCTGTTTAGATGATCCCACACCGATACTTTTTGGACAGTTTGTCAGATAGGGGGGGGGGGGGGGGGCGGGGGGGGCAACCAAACCCCCTCCCACCCCCCCCCCTCCCCCCCCCCCTCGCCCCCCCTCCCCCCCCCCCCCCCCCCTCGCGGCCTTCGCTTCTCCCTCTGGTTTTCCCCGCCTCTGTCCCCCCCCCCCCTCCCCCCCCCCCCCCCCTCTCCCCCTCTTCTCTTTTTCCCTCTTCTCCCTCCCCCCCCCCCCCCCCCCCCCCCCCCCCCCCCCCCCCCCCCCCCCCCACCCCCAAAAAAACCAAACCACAAAACCCACCCCCCCCACGCCCCCCCCCCCCCCCCCCCCCCCCCCAAAACACCCCAACCCCCCCACCACATCCCCCCTCCTCCCCTCCCCCTCCCCCTTCTCCCCCCCCCCAAAAAACCCCAAACAAAACCCCCCCCCCCCCCCCCCCCCCCCCCCCCCCCCCCCCCCCCCTCCCCCCCCCCCAATCCCCCTTTTTTTTCCTTATTAAAAATATCTTTTTTTAAAAAAAAAATTCCTACCCACCACCCCCCCCCGCCCCCCCCCCCCAACAACCCCACCAAAAAAAAAAAAAAACAAAATAAAACCCTTCCCCCCTTTCTTCCTTTTTTTTTTTTTTTTTTTAATTATACATTTCAAAAACCCCAACCCACCCCCCCCCCCCCCCCCCCCCCCCCCCCCCTTCCCCCCCACCCCCAAAACAAAAAAAAAAAAAAAAATAATTTTATCCTTATTACCTTCCTTCTCCTCCCCTCCCCCCCCCCCCCCCCCCCCCCCCCCCCCCCACCCCCCTCCCAAAAAACCCCAACCCAAAAAACAAAACCCCACCCCCTTCCCCCCCCCCCCCCCCCCCCCCCCCCCCCCTCTCCCCCCCCTCCTCCCCCCTCCTCTTTTTTCATTTTTTTTTTTTTTTTTTTTTTTTTTTTTTCTCTTTCCTTTTTCCCCCTTTTCCCCCCCCCCCCTCCCCTCCTCCTCCCCCCTTTTCCCCCTTCCCCCCCCCCCCCCCCCCCTCCCCCCACAAAAAAAAAAAAAATCAAAAAAAAAAAAAACCCCCCAAAAAAAAAAAAAAACAACTCAAACCAAAAAAAAAAAAAAAAAAACCAAATAAAAACAAAAAAAAAAAAAAAAAAAAAAAAAAACCCAAAAAAAAAAAAAAAAAAAAAAAAAAAAAAAAAAAAAAAAAAAAAAAAAAAAACCCCCCTCCCTCCCCCCCCCTCCCCAAAAAAACACTAACCTCCCACCCCAACCCACCCCCAAACCCAACCCCCCCCCCCCCCCAAAAAAAAAAAAAAATAATTTTTTTTTTTTTTTTTTTTTTTTTTTTTTTTTTTTTTTTTTTTTTCTTTTTTTTTTTATTACAAAATTAAAATTTTTAATAACACCCACCTTCCCTCCCCCCCAAAAAAACCCACCTTCCCCCTTCCTAAACCTTCTTCTTCTTTCCTCTTTTTTTTTTCCCCCCCCCCCCTTAAAACCCCCCCCCCTAAAAACCTTCCAAACTCCAAAATCCACAGGTATGGGGCCATCGACGGCGGTGTCCAGCGTGGTTTTTGCTTGATCCCTCGGATGTCTACCTTGTCAACAAGGCCGTGAACAAAAAATAACTCAAGCGTATCAAAGCGAAGATGTCGGGACTTCGGGCTTGGCTGGCGGCTGGGGGGAGAGCGACAAGAGAGAGGTGTGTAAAGGGAGAGGAAACCCATTCAAACTGACGGATGCCGCGAAGCACCCGTCAGAGGGCTGAGCTAGCATCAGCTAGCCCAAGCCTTCCGGGAGGGCGTTACCCCAACTCGACCAGGATGCGCACATCAATGCTAGGGCAAAATGGATTGATCAGTGTGAACATATGCTTTACCTCAATGTTTTATAAAACATCATCGCAGTAGTTGTGAGTTTGACGATATTCATGTTGGCGCAGGCAAACCGTTTTTATTGTCAGCATACGTGCAGTTCAGATCAAACGAATTTGTAAGTCTTGGAATATGTATGGTCTTAGCTACTTATTTGGTACTAGTTCGATACGGTCTAGATCTAGCCTGTAGCTCATTGAAAACGTCTGTAAGAAAGGGCAAGATACGCTTTAATCGATGAAAGCGCTCTACCTAAAAAAATTATCGGTCCAAAACATCTTACAGAACTTTCCACTCGCTCTCTTCCGTCACTTTGTTTGCCTCGTTATATTTGAGTAATATCTGTAGGCACTACTCTTTTCTCTTGCCAGCGCGCAAACAGGCGTTGCTGAAAGGTCTCAACCAAATCCGAAGAAGTGCCATGCTTCTTCGCTTGAACGATTCCCTTGATCAGATCACCGTCGAAAAAAGAACCTCTTAATAAGTCCATCACCTTGGCTGACAGGACAATACTGTTGCTTCCTTGGGGGTAGAAATTTTTCGCATAATAAGTTAAAACGTCCATTTCCGGACTATCAACAATTTTGTAAATGCTCG